CAATAGTAGCCAAAAATGGCACTGCTGACAGGACGATCGTGTCAACAGTGTCAAAAATGGCACTGCTGACAGGACGATCCTGTCAGCAATGCAGTATTTCCTGTTATTGACAGGATCGTCCTGTCAGCAGTGCAATATTTTCTGCTATTGACAGGATCGTCCTGTCAGCAGTGCAGTATTTTCTGCTATTGACAGGACGATCCTGTCAGCAGTGCAGTATTTCCTGCTGTTGACAGGACGATCCTGTCAATAGCCTCAGGCTTGCAAAATTGTTGAATCTCTAGTATTGTTCCTATAACAGGTACATCTGGGGGATCCCTGCAGCTGTTGGCCTGTACATCGCACAAACCATCGCCGTGTGGAGTCTGGTGGTGCAGAGTCCTAGTGGGATTCTGGAGAAGGAGTCACAGGTAAAGTTTACATACTTCTCTTCAAAAATCATAAGTTATACATGATGTATCCGTTTATTTGTTTGTTTATTAAACCGATCTCCATTAGTTTGTACAGACTGAGTTTCCATACAAACTAATCTTCCTGCACATATACTGCTGCAACGTGATGTGGCTTAACTACTAGTACGTAGTACTAACGTTACAACATAGCGATATCTTAGCAAGGAAACCTCACCGACCGAAGAAAACTTCGCAAAAGATGCCAAATATACGACAGCGTTGTCTACTGTAGTTTAAGATTTCATTGCCATAGATAAATGTAGCTTTCCAAATGATCTTATCCCCTCTCTTTTAATTTGAGAGATCTTCAACGCTCAGGTAGGACGTTGACCGAGCATCCAACGAAAACAATGGAAAAACGTGTTTTGCAAAGGCGCAGTACGTTCTGCTGCCGTGCTTGATGACCATAATATGGATAACCATTTGTCTTTGCATGCATAGCCACACATTATGTCGGCTTATTAGTATAGAACCTAAGCTTATAGGTAGTATAGAACCTTAAACTTTGACCATAGACCACAATGCATCATTATACTGTATTTTGATGGTATAATAACTTTGGAATGATTTATTATTATTATATTTCACTCCATACCATGGTAAGGATGAGATATGTTGTTTTTTTTTGTCGTATAAATTCGTTACATAGATCTTCTGGCTGCCGGGCTACAACAGCATTTTCCTGGAGCAGTGGCTGATGCTGAGCCGGAAAACCAAATACAGCAACCGGAAACAGTTTGTCCGGCGTGCCAAGACAATCCGGAACGCGTGTGTGTACGTCTGTAGTACCATGTACCATGAGGTGAGCCTGGTCATTTTGCTAATTCAGTGTACAAAAGTATTTAGAAAATTGTTTAGGCTGGCTGAGCGCAAAGTTTTCTGTGTCAGTTTTCTCGAAGTAGAGACAGTAGCCTGATATCCAGTCTATCGTGGTTGTGGCAGCCTTAAAGCAAGTGGTAAAAGTAAAATGTCGATCTCACTTACTACAGTCTGAAGAAGAAATGGAACAGCTGCTCATCTCCTTGCGGGGGATCGCTAACGATCTCCAGGACGAGGCGAACCGCCATTTTGAATCGCACATCTTCTTTGACGGCGGCTGTAAGCAGGGTCAGCCGTCACGCTGGGCGTTACAGCTCATGGCGCTCATCGACAAGACCATGTGTCCACCGGGAGGTAAGGTTTCGGTGGTATTTCTAAACCCACTATTCCTCAGCAGTGTGGCGTCAGCAGTGTAATTATTAGCAGTGTGGCGTCGGTGGCGCAACGGTTAGTGCGTTGGACTCGGAACCAAGAGGTCCCGGGTTCGATACTCACCTTGGACCGACGTTGTGCCCTTGGGAAAGGCACTTTACACGACTTCCCCACCTATAAGGTGAAGTGACGCCCACCGAACCTCTTAGGCTATCTGTCTGTCTGGGTGCTAAAAACACCTTACGGATTTGGTGCGCCATCTGCACATTGGCCACTGAGAGCCGTTACATTTTTTTAAAGTCCTCAGCAGGAGAAACAATTCTACTGCTAAAATAAAAACAAAACACGTATTATAGATGAAAACAAATGCCCGAAAAGAAGAAGTTAAACCCAACAGAATTAGTAGGTACCACGTATGTTGATTTGACGGCGGCTGTAAGGAGGGTCAGCCGACACGCTGGGCGTTACAGCTCATGGCGCTCATCGACAAGACCATGTGTCCATCGGGAGGTAGTGTTTGGTGAGCTTTCTTAACCCAATATTCCTCATGAGAAAACAATTCTACTACTAAAAAGAATCCCATCCATCCATACATCATCCAACATTTACCCATCCATCCATCCATCCATCCATCCATCTATCCATTCATTCTTCTGTCCAAATCCAATCATCCATCCATCCAACCAACCCTCTATCCATCCACCCATTCATTAATCCATCCATCCCTCCGTCCCTCCACCCATCCATTCATTCATCCATCCATCCATCCATCCATCCATCATTTCCTTCCTCTATCCATCCCCTATCCATCCATCGATATCCATCCATCAATCTATCCATTCATCCCTTCATCCTTCCAACCATCCATTCATCCATCCATCCATCCTTCCATCAACCAATCCGTCCATCCATCCATGCCGATATTACCTTTCGTTTTATGTTTTTCTCGTTACTATGTAGCACTATCATATGCAACTGCCTTACCTTTCCGTTAAATGTCCTCAACATGAATTTGCATATTGGCATATTTACATATTTACATATTTAACTATTTCAAGAACATTACATAGAGATAATGCCCTTACCTACTTGCCTAGTATTCTCATTGTTTTCAGACGTGACGATTTTTAACGAGTTATCCTGTGAGAAGTGGGAGACTCCGTACGGGCTGCAGTTCTGCTGGAGAGTCGGTGCGAGAAAGATGTCGTTTAACGTACATCTTAAGGACAACTCAAAGGTACATCATGACCCCAGCCCCCTCCCCCCACAAGCACAGTAAGTTTATTACAATGCATTTTAAGTAAACACAATGGTTTACATTAGAGTACCAGTGCACCATATTAGGGTTCAACTTCAAATGATAAAGTGTCCCTTAGAAATTAGATTCTTATTTGCATTATTTAGGTCAGGGCTAAGAAGCGATGGAGTCAAGTGATGTACATGTCCTACGTTCTCGACTATCTTGGTAAGTAAAGATGTACAAATAAAGCATGTTTCAATGAATGGACCTGTAAACCTTTGTTCTTTTAAGTTTTTTTTATAACATGTAGTAGATGTGTGTGTTTGAAGATGTATTAAGTACAACAGAATTGTTTTGATGAACAATGTTTTGTACCAAGGTTCAGTAATTGACAACAAGAAGCTTTTGTATTCTTACAATCAGCCAGTTTGATCTGGCAAAAATTCAGCCAAAATGGCGTATCTAAGTACAGCTATATTTAATTGATGCGTTGTAAAAAGAAAACACATCTTACGTGTAGCTACAACGAAGACAGTTACTGTTTAATGTATTGTTGTCATGGATTAGGTTTGCCAAACAATGTAGATATAAAATTATTCTTTTGTACCTACGTGTCTATCTGTTTGTTTAGTCATAGATCTTACGGAAGTCACTGTCCCTTTTTTGTCTTAAAAATGTCTCATATAAAATGATATAATGTGTCATTTGCCAAGCTAACTACAATCCACTGGGTATGTCTTCCGGCGCCATCTTGGATGACGATATCGAGGCTTCCTCGCCCAGAAAGTCAGCGCAGACGTTTGACCGCAGCGGGCCGCACCGAGCGAGACTAAACGGTTCCACCTGCTGGACCGCAGAAGGGAACGACTTACAATACATACAGGTGATTATAAACTTATAAAAACCAGTATTTTAAAAATGTTCTCTATAACATGTGTTTCAATGAAAGGAGTTGTATAAAATGTAAACATTCGTCAAACGCGTTTTGGTGCTATCACTCACGTGATTATAACATCCATTGTCCACCATATTAGAATATGATAAATTTAATTATACGTAATTGTGATATGGATACAACTGCAATAGCAGAATTGTATAAAATTTTGATAGATGATAGATTACATGTTAAGTTCAATGAATACCTTTGAAAAGTTTACCTTTCAAACATAAGAGACTTTTATGCCACTGATGGGTGACCAATACTTGATGTTTCATAAATTTTATGAAATACATGTATATGGCGTAAACAGTAGGATTTTATAGACAACAATCTTAAAACATACACATTACAGTATTAATTGAATTCATTTCAACTACCAATGAATTTTCTGTTTAGTCAGTTGTGTCCACCACATCTCTTTAAAAGGGATAATATATTCAATAGCCTACTCAATAGCAGGTTAATGTATTCGTATCAAGGGAATCGAAAGGAGACTTCAACACATAATTAGAACCAGACTATAAATAATGCACAATAGATCATTTCAGATCTTTCTGATTATCTCACAAAGGTTGACCTGAGTGAGCCGATGGCCGTGACTGGGTTAGTGGTACAGGGACATCCCTACGCTGAGGAATGGGTGAAGAGTTTTGAGATCCGTTATCTGGACAAGTCCACTCCTATATCATCCGGACTGGGGGACGGTGACTGGCGCCGGTACGGGGAGGGTCCTGACGGTGAAGTCAAGGTACGATGATTATCTTTGGTAGGTAAGGTCCTGGTAATATTTTATCGTATGATTGTCACACGATTACAAACCGCGAAAATTCCTATATATATAGTCACACATTTGTCCTACACAATTCTTTATTTAGTACTTTTTTTATGATTTAAACCTGAAGAAATGTACCTTCAAATTTTCATTGACACTAAAACTTAATTTTTGTATATATATAACAATACAATAACAAGGACCTTTTGGCGCTGCACTCAAGTTTTTTAATTTATTTTTTTACAGCGCCACACATGTACACAAAAACTACAATTAACGGGTCAACACAATGAATTATCATAACATGACATGTGACAAAGTCCTAACACCCAAGACATAATACCAGTGCTAACCACGTTATGATCTAGGAACACAAGGATTACATAATAATCTTCTATATTTGATTGGCGAAAGCATAAAGGCCAATCAGAGCTAGGAGATCTAGAGCTGAAAAAAGTGAGGACTTTTTACACACGGAATGTTGTGACTTCTACTTGACAGTTAAAGAACGGTCTATTGGAGCTAGAGTCTCTTGGTGTCTTTAACCTAAATTTTAGTGAGTTACGTCATGTAACGTTATTGTCTTCAGTCCATTCCACAGTGTATGTTAAGTTAACAATGCAAATGACGGCTTCTAAATCAAGTCGTAACATTTCCTATTCCAGACCTTCACCATCACACCGACAAGCGGTAACGATGCGGTAAGAGTCCTCCTGGAGGAGCCGGTTGAGACCCGCTATCTCCGGATCTACCCCATCCAGGGACACGGTTCCCGCAGCATGCGCTTCGAGATCCTGGGACATCACATTGGTATGATACAGTTAATGTTATCATGAAATAAAGACAAAACTTTCCTCCCAACACTGGAATGAATTAGGGACCTACCACAAATTTTCTGCAGGCTGCTTCAACCTTGTTCATAGAATGGACCCACCCACTCTTGGAAAGTGACAAAAGAGACACGTGGCCGTAGTAACAGCTCATACGTGCCAGATAACTTGTGTCGCCCCCCGTCTCTGTTCAGGCTAGGTCTATGAGCTCTAATGTAGACTGTCTCATTCACTCCTCTAACTACTAAAAACAAGATTCCTGGAAACCCAACGTCATAGCTCTGTAAACTCGCTGTAGGTATCGCGAAACATTCATATGGAATCTCCGGTACACTTTACTTTACAAGGTTGAAGAAGTCAGCCGAAAATTTGTGGTAAGTCCCTGATTCATTCCATTGTTGGAAGGAAAGTTTAGTCTTTATTTCATAATGACTTGTACAAACACAGGTGAATTTTCATGCCCAGCTCATGCTAGTTGATGGACCCAAATATGGCTTGTTTTATAAGGCCTAACTTATACAGGACTGATATACATTCTTTGAATATGATAAGTAGCATCAAAAGTCGAGTTGCAGTGATCAACGTAGCAAACAGAAGGGAAAATATTCTACACAGTTTTTTCATAGACCACATCTGGAGGTTTCCAAAAAAGCGCCATAAACAATAGCCTAAACTTTGACATTTTTTAATAAATTCGATATGGTTTAAATAGAAATCCGAACCTTATTGTTGCATTAGATTATCCTAATTACAACCCCTTAACCAATCAAACAATACCGTAGGCGTGACCTGGGGATTTGTATTAATTTGTTAATATTTGTTTATTTGATAATAATTATGACTTTCAAAACAAAAGTGGTAAAGCCACGATGCGTACAACCTTTCTTTGTCCCAGCTGACAACCTAGAGAACACGTATCTCCTGGTGACCGATGCTGACGTGAAGTTCACCCCGGAAGCAGCCAAGGCCCTGCTGGACATCACGGCACGTGACCCCGCTGTCGGTGCCGTGTGCGCCCGTACCCATCCGATGGGGTCTGGAGCCGTGGCGTGGTACCAGATCTTCGACTACGCCATTGGACACTGGCTTAACAAGGTCAAGTTTATTTTTATCGTTCATTATATCGCAACACCTGTGCCGTTTCACCCTTGGTACTGCCATTTTGGTTCGAAACGTCACGGCCATCTTGCCCTAAGTGGCGTTGTACCAGGTTCTCGACTAACCTGTAGTGAAGCTTAACAAGGTACCATTTAATTTTATCTTTCATTATGTTAATTGTTGAAGACCAGTGCGATTTTGCCCCTGTGTCAATAGTTGCCCTTATACTGATTCATGACACTACAGGTCGGCCACCCTGTCCTCGTCATAGTTATAATTCATAAAGTAGTTGAATATTCAGTTAAGATCCCCATGGCGCTCTTTCAGTTATTGTTAGAGGCTGAAATAGTATATGTATAATGATACACACCTCTATATTCCTATTTTCATCCCTAAACATAAACTATTCCTTTTCACAGGAATTTGACCCATAGAGAAATGTAAAATAGTCGTAATATACAATTTGAGTCTGTTGCAATGCCTGAAAATGGGTCAAGTGAAGTAATAATTGGGCTACTTTTCCTCTGCGTTTAAAGTAGATGTGGAATACGAAGCTTGCACGGATTAGGCTTATATAAGAAAAATGTTTCGTTTTTGTGACAGGCGGCTAACAACGTCCTTGGCACGGTGCTGTGCTGTCCCGGCTGTTTCTCCGTCTACCGAGCTAAAGCTGTCCGTGACGGGCTGGCGGAGTACTCCACACACGTCACCAAGGCAAACGAGTTCCTCATCAAGGACATGGGCGAGGACAGGTGGTTCTGTACACTCTTAGTAAGTCATTTAAAAACTCAATAGTTATTAGCTTTCACATTTTCGTAGTAAGAGTAGTAGTAGTAGTAGTAGTAGTAGTAGGAGTAGTAATGGTAGTAGCAGTAGTGATAGCAGCAGTATAATAGTAGTAGTAGTGGTAGAGTGGTAGTAGTAGTAGTAGTAGTAGTAGCAGTAATGGCAGTAGACAGTACATTATTCAACAATAAAAATTCTACAGAACAATTGCTTTCGAAAATAATTTTCGGATGTATTTGTTATCGTTTTCTAACTAGACGTATAGAGATCATCAGTGTAATTAGATATAAGTAAAACACTGTTAAATGGTCAGTTACCTGTATTTGATTTTTTTTAAATTTCTGTAGGTTGAGAGCGGCTGGAAACTTGAGTACTCTGCCGTGTCTGAAGACTCCACCTTCTGTCCGGAGTCCTTCGACGAGTTCTTCAAACAGCGCCGTCGGTGGCTTCCCTCGACCGTAGCCAACCTGGTGTTGGTTGTACAGGTATGTATACGTACTACACTTTTGCTGCCCATACCTTCTTAAGCTACGGTGGTCAAGAGGGACAACCTTTGTCAACTGCGCAAGCTACGGTGGTCAACAGGGACAAGTTTGTCATCTACGCAAGCTACGGTACCGGTGGTCAAGAGGGACAACCTTTGTCAACTGCGCAAACCACTAAGTTGCTTAGTTCGAAAGTTTTTTCAGGGCCATCGTGTCGATCAACGATCCTCCTTTTACCTGGTCTAAACAAATTTTATCACAGTAACTGTTTATTCGACATTTTGCCCTAAAATCCACTGGTGTATTGTTAATGCACATTTCCATGCAGATATTTAAATTTGATCTAATATCAGGCGTGTCAGCAGCCTTTATTTTTTTCTTTTTCTTTTAGAAATGGAAGACGCTTGTCAGAAAAAACTCCAACATCTCCCGGCTGTTCATCCTGTACCAGCTGCTGTTGCTCTTCGCTACTTTGATTGGACCTGGAACATGCATGCTGTTGATCGCAGGTACAGAATTTGGCCACATTTAACATGCAATCTGAATGAAGGGATTTTTTGACGTACGATCTTCATGCGATTGCAAACTAAGGGCGCTTGGAAAATAGTCGTACAAAATTTTGCCGTCTTGTTACAAAAAAGCCTGCTTGACAATTTAATCAAAAGCGTACGATGTCCTACTATAAATATATATGCAACATAAATGTGACTGATTTGATTCATTTTACCTCTCGTATGCCATCGGTAATTAAAAGCAATTAGCAATACTTGCAGCATTAAGAATCGGTTATGGTAAAACATTTGGTATTCACAAAATTTGCACGAGTGCACTTTTTTTGTCAAATTCATATTAGATAGAAAAAATATATTTTTCATGAACGTATAACGTTAGCCTCTTTAGTCCAGTCATTACCTTTTATGAGAAACAAATATATTGCACATCGTTAGGAATTTAATATTCTTTTACTATACGTAGGAAATGCATATAGTGCCTGAGGGATCCTGATTTGTGGTATGCATTACGTCAATGTCAATGAAGAGTGGATAAAAGGTGTTAACATATCGATGTTAATTTGTTCGATGTCTGTTGTTAAGTTTTCTGTTTATGAACCAACAGGTGGCATGAGCGTGGCGTACGGTGTTGATCCCGTGATCTCCATGGTGCTGCTGGTCCTCACGTCTGTGGGGTTCGCTCTGCTGTGTCTCAAAACTAACCAGAATGTACAGCTACAGGTAACACAGAACTAAGAAATAGATTTTGTTGAATTGGAATGACAGTGTCTGAGACAACAGAATTATAAATCTGTTGATGGGTTCTATCAAAGTTTGTTGATTTGAACTAAGCCATTTTGATATTTTGGTGTATACTGTATTGTGTGTGTGTGTGTGTGTGTGTGTTTGTGTGTGTGTGTGTGTTTGTGAGTGTGTGTGTCTGTGTGTGTGTGTGTGTGTTTGTGAGTGTGTGTGTGTGTGTGTGTGTGTGTGTGTGTGCCCTAAAACCAGCCCGAACGTACAACTACAGGTAACAACACGTTTTTTTTTAAAGAAAAAGTTGAGAGAAGCTCAAACAATTGTTAATTTAATTAGGGGTTTTAGTTAACTTTTTAACGCTTCAATTTTAACTCAGCCCTTTTTTTTCTTTTCTAATATTCTATTCTTATACTTTGCTGTCTTTGTAACATTGATGTAGTAATTAATAATCTAATTTTGCTATTTCTAATTCTGCATTTTTACACTTATTAGATTGCCAAAATATTGACGTTTGCTTTTGCTGTTGTGATGGCTGCCGTCACGGTCGGAACAGCAACGGACATCGTCAAGGGTCTCAGCACTCCCAGCTTCTCCAATTCAACAGGTACATAATTAGATTATTTCTGTATCTATATCTTTACAACCGGTATAACCCCCTTTCGGCTTAACACACACTTCGTAGGCCCGGCGGTAGCTGGCTACATTACACTGAAGGACTTGTTAGACTAATTACACCATACCCTTGAACTCCAAACTCTAAAGATTGTTTAAAGCTAACTTGTGATAATGTCCCTACTGTGCTTGGTGACAGCGAGTTCCACTCTGCAATAGTTATAGAGAAAAAAAAAACTTTTGAACACCTCAATCCTTGGTTCATAACACTGGTACTTGAAGACATGAGTACTATTTCTTGTTTTATTCCTGAGCTGGTATTAGGTACTTAGTAGTTGGTACGTCGACCAGTGTATTAGTCAATTTGCACATTATTTAGTCAAGCGTAGCCTTTTCAGAGATTTGTAATCTGAGTTTAATAGCAGCACCTCCAATACTTAAAACTATTCGCACCAAATGCATAGTGCTAAACAAAGGACTCCGAGGCAGAAAGTATCATTCCTTTTTTAAAGGTTTTTAGGTGACTTTTTAACGTATCCAGAACCTTGCCTGTCTAGTTTTATGCCTAAATGGGTTGAGCGTTAAGATCAGGGACAGCTCTGAAAAGTCTCTGAGAATCCAGAAACTTGAATTTGCCTAGAGGACTCAGTTAGCAGTTAGTCAAAAGTTTAGCTAGCAAAAAAAAGATACCAGTACAAAAAAAGCCAGAAAGAAAAGACGCCCATGATATGTCAGCCTAAATATGTTTACCGAAGGAAAACATATTGTTTTTGCTTAGTTTCTTCCTCTTCTTCTTCTTTTCCTGTCAAAGAAGGTCAATAATCAGGACCAGACGTCTATAACCATGGTAACTGGTAACTGGTCTGTATGGTCACCAACCATTTGAATGTGTTTGGGTAAGAATAAACGAAGCAGTATTTTGTTAAGCTGGACCATGTGTGAATGTAAACATGATGCTTTCGAAACGCTACTTTTCTAGTATATTTTACATTTTTTGCGTATCCATTCTAGGTGGGGATGTTGTGTTGCTGCCAATACCGGTCAGCACCTTGTACTTCTTCCTCATCATCGGGATTTTCATCGTGACGGCTCTCCTGCACCCGACGGAGTTCTTCTGCCTGTTCCACGGGGTCTGGTACCTGTTCTGTCTGCCGTCAGGCTACCTGCTGCTCACCATCTACAGCATCTGTAACCTCAACGACAGGAGCTGGGGTAGGACTGGGTTTTACATGTCACGTTTTACTTCACAAGTGAAGTGTGTTTTTCTGTACATAAATTGCTGTACAAGCTACATCGTGAACACGTATAAATTATTATGCCTCATACTATCATTAACTGATTATGTGACATAAATTCATAGGCACACGTGAAGGAAAATCTAGTGGAGGTTCGAGGAGCTGGAGAGAGATGTGGTGGAGTTTTGTTGACGGGTTACGTGGGTGAGTGAGCAAACTAGGCACGTAGTAGACGCAAGAAACAGTTGACGTACTTTTAAAGATACAGTTATTATTTTCCCAACTGCCTCTACATAATTGGCCTTGTTGATCGCTGTAATTCGTAAATTTTCAATCCGGTGTATTATCCTTCTAAATAGATTGCTTAATCATTAATTATTTTAGCTAAATAACCAGTCTTTACTAAGCTGGATTGTTTTTGTACATTAACAAGTACAATGCTGAAAGATATTCATGGCAAAATTGAAAATCAGTTTCCCGTCTTATGCCACATGATTAGATGCTGTGGTGGTAGAACAGACACAGCAGACACCACGGATATAGAACAGTTACCTTCACAAGACGAGCCAGGTTCAGAGCCTGCATCCCCGACTGACAGTGATACAGCGGAGCCAACTATCGGTGGTGTACATTTTATAACAGTAGAGCAATGTGGTGTGTGGTGAAGTGTCTATTTCCTACTCATTCTTCTACCTTTTTTTTTCTTTTCTGACTTCCAACAATTGTCTTCCCTTTTTTGCATATCAATCAATAGTTTGTGTTTTTATAAACCTGCATATCTCCTCTGGTCTCTCAGTCACAGACGAAGCTAGTGGATACTAGCTGAAACGTTTGACCGTTTCCAAAATCATATCCAGTTAATTGAGTAACTGCTTTTTGGCATATCTTCTTCTGCTTTATTAACTTTTGTATATTGTACTATTTACGAAGAAACCTTTTTACGACACATGAAAATATTTCCAATTGAAATAAAAGCATTGTATTTAGAAAGTCTTTATAGTTGCATACCTAGCAATAGGAATACATTGCTATCATTGAAACCAACGTTGGCATGAACAATGACTAATTTGCCGTTTGATTTTGAGTTTTTGCATTTTGAATTTTGTTTTAGCCGAAGAACCAGAGACGGAAGAAGGCCCGCAAAGTGCCCCTCCACTTCCACCTAAGACACTTCCACCGGCGCTTCCACCAAAGCAGAGAAGGCGCAAGGGTGCGTACTAGATAGATCCTAATGATCTTTTAGGATAGTGTGCTTTCTGGACAAAACAGTTGCCTGATAAGGTGCTTTTTTTTCCTCCGTTAGCAGCATACAATTGCAAGTACAAACAGACAAGTATGCAGGTAGTCTTCATGGAGTTAGACAAACACGATACGAACAAAATCAAAATTAAAACATTATTCAATATATACAGCAATATAACGCATAGATTTTCATCTTAAAACTTAACACCACTATCAAGTATCTATATTATGTGCACTATCACACACTATCAACTCCTGCAATAAACGTTAGAAGTTACGGCATACACATTTATGTTCCTTTTATGAGTCTGTCGTTGTTTTGTGTTTATGAATCAGGATTCCATTTTCAGATCAATACTAACTAATACTGTTTGCGTTTACTTCAACAGTGACGTTCGATTCTGTGGAGGGCCTCCCGCGTAAGCCAATGTTTTTGGAATTTCTGTTAACTGTATTTTTAATTCTTCTTCAAAGATGCATCTTATGTTGTTTATTTATTTTGACATGAACTGATGATATATTGTATGTTTTAAAGTTAACAGTGGCTTCTGCGTTTTATTTCATAGCAGTTGAACCAGGAATGGGGGCAGCTGCGCGACGTATCCAGACACAGAGTTAGTAATTACAATTTTCTAAGGGTTCCGAACTTAGCACCAAAACCACGTCGGTCTATACATACTTCGGGGTAAACTGCAGACCTATTGTCCCCAACACGACTAGAGTCACATGGACGTTGCCTTGGGAACTCAAAGACACTGACTCTTCCCATTATTGAGTCGTATTGAGGTCACCTTGAGGCGCCGAATGGCAACCTCACAGACCCTTGCGACAGTTCCACAAAAATAATTGTGGAACAAACATGTGTATCATGTGTATTATTTGATTGTTGTAATTGTTGTGATTTGTATTGATAATTGTGATACCCTGCATCAATTCAGCCGTATAAAGGCTGTGACTGTACGGGTACTGTTTGGACAATAAAAAACATTTATTATTATTATTATTATTATTCGCACAACAAGGTTCAGCAATAGCCCGGTACCGTCACTGCTGATAATACTTAATGAAAGAAAATGACATTATATATCGTTCTATGTAGTAATTGGATTTAATGTTGTACAGAGATCACGGATTTTAAATGTCTTGTTTTAAAACTAATACCTATGATTTTATTGCAGTGGATTTTATAATATTCTAGTAACTTTTTTAATCTGATACATCTGATGAGATGATGTACATATGTAACAATGGGCACAATTCAGCCTACATGCAAGTAGTGATGCAAAGTCGATTGAACAATAAACCATTAGATTGATGGAATGATTGATTGATTGATTGATTGATTGATTGATTGAACAAATTAAAAAAGAAGAAAAGAGAAACGTCCAGAGGCAGGTATCATTGAATCATGCCTCACTCACTCGTACTGTATATGGAAACAGGAATTTTAAGGAAAATCTGACCAAAATGTGGATTTTTATACAAAAAAAATTACATACGTACATGTAACATATAATTGCTATAAAATACACATGATCACCAAGATTTCTTGCAGCGTGTATAGCAAAAAAAAATTAACAAGAGATATCAATATGCATATTTCTTTAACAGAGAGGTGGTTCCGTCGGAGGAACAGGGAAAGCCTGGCAAGAAGAGGTAATCATGAGATAAATTAAGATTTAAAAAAAATATGATAGATCTGTATTTTGTTTTTCCTGAATACTAGTTATATGATTATCTACATCTTCCTTTAATATTGGATTTCAATACGCCGTTTTTATGCACTAGTGGTTCAATGTAATGCACATGTTTGACCCTACAGCCTCTCGCAAGCACTCCAACTGGAGGATGAGTTACCAGGACACGGACAGAGTAGGAGTAGAAATGTGGCTTCCTGACAAGATGAGAGTAAGTTTTATTAACCTTATGACACAGATATCTCTTTATTTTTCATTTGATTTCATTTATCGTTCTTGAATATTTTAGCAATAAGGTAACGTATGTATTTATAAATTTAATACACTCGAATAAAGCGGAGTAACAGAACATTCCATCACTATCCAGCAAATTAAATATTCATAAGTAAAAACCAACGAAGGTTTACGTTCAGATGAAATTTCAATTCTTTTTTACAAGTTTTGTCTTTTATTCCTGTAGATTGATCAAGCACGTATTTATACGTATTACTCTCATGACTAACCTTCATAAATGTTACCACATATATGTCTATCCTAATTCTGTAGATATAGTATAACAATATAATTGATATTACAAACTTATACGAAGCTCTTTTCAGTCTCCGAATATAACTTTGCTACTGACATTGTTATGACATGATAAACTAGAAAGGTAACATTTGCAAAGCATAATGTTTACCTTCGCAAATGTTCTCCTCTGTCAATTCGTATACGTACTCAAATACATTCATATATATGGAGTCTAAATCCCTCCTGCTATAAAATTGCAACATGTTGTAACCCAACACTATTTACCATGGTGACAGACGTCTGGTTCAGGTCATTGACCTTACTTGTTTGGAGAAGAAGAAGAAATTGAGCAAAAAATGCGTTTTCCATCGGTAAACATAAGAAACCATACCGTCCTCCTTACACAGGAGAAGTACGCCCAGAAATTTCTGGACCATGGCTATGACGACACCACCTTCATAGCCGGGATGAAGGAGTCAGACCTGGAGTTTATCGGTGTAGACAAGATGCACCGTCCGGAGATCCTCAGACAGATAGACAAACTGTCGGAGTACGCGATCGACGTCAAAGTGCCGGTAAGTATAGATAACATCTTTTTTTAGATCTATACGTTGCGCACAAAGTCAATGTGAAAATAATATCTCTTCTGCATAAGTGCTTTGCATCATAAAGAGGAATGATACAAACATTACATTGCAAAATAAACATAACGGTTTATTACCGGTGTCGTAAGCAAAATGGAAACTGTTTTCTAATTATATTTTTGTAAACTTCAATGTCGTGTTTCTTAGCAATAATGTGAAGAGAGATTCCTATTAGGTTGGTATCGCTCATTTTGTTTGCTTACGACTGGTGAATTTCATTTTCTTGGGCTTTTACTGTCTGTCATATGCCACACAATTTAATGGTTCTACTTAGTGATAGTACAACAAGATGTCGATTCAGTGAAACGAATGCGACGTCAAAAGATTCTTATGCCCCTCATAATGGCTCAACACTAAAAACATTTCTTGTGATCAACTCAAACTAAGAAATTCGAGTTTTAATGGCAATGGAATTCAATTTATTCAATCCAACAAAATCGTACAAAAGCAGGAAATGCTGATACAACAGCAAATAGCAGACATGGGTTTTCAAATGTCAGCCATTATCACTGTCATTGTAGAGTCTTACTGCACAATGTAAGAAAGACTTTTTCAATCGTAGAGTCCTAGCTTTAGGCAAAGTGAACATGTTGCTGTTCCTGAGCTGTCTTCCTGTAGCAGTCACACGTTCAGGGGGAACAAGGTCGTGCAGAGGGTGATCAGGGTACAGCATAGCTTTGAAGAGATATGCGTAATACCATGACTAAAACCGTTCGCAGGATACAGTGGAAGAGTGGCTGGACCAGATCGGTTTGGAACAGTACAACGACAAGTTCGTGTATGATGCTTATGATGTCGCCAGTCTGGTCAACCTGGAAGAACAACAGATCAGGGAAAATCTTGGAATCGTCAAGACTGGTCAGTACATTAGTACCGAGGGCTGTTGTTTCATATTTTTTCTTGAAAAGAGTACCATATCTCAAGATTACGTATTTTTAGACTTCATCAGTATAAATTTTTGTACCTCTGAAGACCAGTAAAATATACGTAGCAATCAAAAATTAAAAAACAAAAAGAAGGTAGGCTACAATTAATATAATTTTAACTATAATTAAGGTAAGAAACAAGATTGCTTTCCTGTTAGTTTCACTAATTGATGATATGTCACTCTTGTTTTTTCAGCTCACGTCAAGCGCATGTTGGTAGCAATAAGCCACCTTCGACACCCCAGCGAAAGTAAGTACCATTAGGTCGAAAGTCCGTGATTGTTTTGTTGACTTCAATGTTGAATACATTAGAAGCATATTCATGCTTTAGGACGTGCATTTGATTTGATTTAATTTATTGAAATTGCAACAGTGCAATACAACTGGGACACAGGCAGCTGTTGCTGGTGTTGTGTCCCACACAAAGAAATGAATACTGGGCAGAGAATACTCATTTTTACCGGAGTTTAGTGGGGAAAGTCGTGTCAAGTGCTTTTCTAAAGTCGCAAGATCGGTGGCATATCAGGACTCGAACTCGGGAACTCTTGGTTCCGACTCGAGCACGCTGACGTTGCGCCAAACAACCCCACTAACGTACGTTTAAACCTGATGTCGACAGTGCTGCCATAAAAAAAACGTTGAAGTTATCTCAATATTTACATGTTTGTTTATGGTTGTTTAGCCGATGAAATGATCGACCGAGTGAAGAAAGTGATCTCAGACAACGTCAAGCCACTTCGTATGCAGGACCTGGAAGAGGACCACGTGCGTTACCCGGAGTACAAGTAAGAGTGACGCGATATCTGCACGGTCAAAATTAGTAGCCGTACTTTGTCTAACCCTGGCCTCTTTCCATATTACTTTTTTTAAGTGGAAAGCAGGCAGTTTTGAGTACTTGTTGTTGTTTTTGTTGGCTTCTTCTTCGAGTCCGAAGATGTTTAGGACGTCAGTCCCCTGCAGGCCTTCATGTGGCTGTGTAGTCCAATTCTCGACCTGCAGGACCTACGGCAGGACGGACATGTGAAGGTCACTACTGCTGTCGGCTGAGTGACTGCAACCTTTCCTCGCCTCCTCTTTTCCTCTGCTACCTCTTTTCGGGCTTGAGTACTTAATGAGTAAACAAAGGCTAAAACGAAGAAGCTAACTGTATTGTGAAGTGAACATTGCAAGAAATGGCTTACAATAGCATTTTAGAACTACTTAAGGTATTTTGAGGAGGTCATCAAAGGCCGTGTTTAGCTGCACCCTGAATTAAACATCCTCTTCTTTAAAGGTCTAGAAACCGAATTAAAAACATAGGTTGAGTCAGGTAAAAGTCCTCACAGCACAACATTTTAACTGGCTAGGATTTCCACCCCAAAATGTATAGATTTTGAGTCAAGGGCACTCTGCTACAAGGTGCTTTTAAACTATCTTAAAACTGTGATTGTGTAAAATTGTGACAGTCTTAGTTTTAGCATGAAAGTTCATCTGTGTTGGTACAAGTCATTGTCATGAAATAAAGACAAAGCTTTAACTTCCAACACTTAGACCACGGAAATGGGACTTACGGTTGACAATTTTTCGGTTGACTCCATCAATCTTGTTCACAGAATGGACCCGTCTACTGTTGGAACCTTCTAAAGATACTGAGTGTCCCGAAAATTCAATGTGAATGTGTTGCGAGACCTACAGAACTAGGACGTCTTGTCTTAGTTTTCTTGCTTTTTCTTCCTTTTTCCTTGTGTCAGGTTCTGGAACCGAGTCCGTGACGCTGCCCTGAAGCAGGACTACGGAGTCTTCAACAACAACGTGGGGCTGAAGGAACAGCTGGAGGAGCTGAGGAACTCTTGGCTTATCGTGCTGTTCGTGTCTAACGCACTGTGGCTCACCCTGATCCTCACACTGGCCTCTCAGGCTAATCTGCAGGTACTTACACTCAAACTGTCGAAGATAACACGCAATATTTGTGTATCTGTATCTGTATAGCCAGTATAACCGCCCTTCGGGGTAATACACCATCTTCGCAGATACGCGGCGTGGCGGCAACTAGTTATATTACACCGAACGGCATGTTACACCCAATTTTTGCACATTTAATTGCAAGCGTTGTTTAAAGCTCTGAAGTGATGGTGACCCGATTATGCTTGGTGGCAACGTGATCCACTCAACAGTACATAGTTCTAAAAAATTACAGGTGAACACCTACATTCTAGGTTGATAACTGATATATTTCAAGACATGGTTGTTGTTCGTTCTCTTCTGGTATTAGATACCTAGTGGTTAGTACGTCCACCAGTTTATTAGTCATTTTGTACATCAAAATCTAAATATCTTTAGTTAACAATCATATGTACTTGAAATTGATTTGAAGTGTTTTTTCTTATTGGCTTTGGAATATTAAAAAAGAGTTTACTATTATATAAACGAAACATAGAGATAACTAAAACGCAAACTAAACCGTTACGATTTTTGAAAATAATGTTTGCCCAATTTCTCAGTCTCAGAATTATTCAGTTTGATCAGTATGATCATCTTATAATGCTATTTTTTTATTATTCTTTTACAAGGTCCTAGACACCAACCCACTTGGTCTAGTCTTCCTCGTTGTCTTTGGCTTCATCCTGATTATCCAGTTCCTGGCCATGCTGGTCCATCGCGCCTGGACTGTCGTGCACATGTTAGCTCGCATCCGCAACCCCTGGGAGAAACTGGACACGGAGGACGCCGTGGGACCGAAGGAAGAGAAGCAGTACCGGGGCCAAATCTCGCGGATCCCCGACGCCATGCCGGCGACCTCCCGACGAGGTTTTGACGACACGATCTACCAGAACGATGGCTTTGAAGAGGACGAAGGGGAGCCTCCTGTGTACGAATCCGTCAGTTCGTTGTAGCTTTTATTGAAGTTAGGCCATAAGTTACCTTAGACCTTAGTTCCATACCGACTTAATTTTATGGATGACATCCAGGCGCGCATGAATTTTCGCCTGTCCTTAAAAAAAAAATAAGATCACGTCCTCTGACCTGGCTCTAGATCTGTGTAGTCCATGGTAGTTAGCGACAATACGGAGTCGGTGGTAACCCTGGAGGATGGCACCAAAGCTCCACGAGTCAAGAACTCAGTACATACGTACAGTGCCAATTCATAAATTCCACAAAATTCCAACAAGTGCCGGCTTGTCGTGTATGTCGCTATGTACTGCTTCAAATTCACAATACCAGCTTTGTATTCCTTTGGTTTAGTAGCATTTTCATTTTTTGCCGTTTTTTTCCCGCTCGCACCAGTTTGGGGGTCTTCAGAGGATGTCATCCATAAAATTAAGTCGGTGTTGCCTTAGGCTTAGGAAAAAATCCTGTTTCCCGACAGACCTGAAGATACATGCTAAGCCTTTTTTGTGTGGACCCTTGCAAAATACATAGAAAATATAAGTGTCCTCATGTAAGTTTTACTTTGTTTAACTGTATTGTATTGTATTAGCAAGGAGCTTCTTTGTATGAGTTGGATCACTAGACAACGTCAAAGTCTAAAAGAGAATAAAAGAAAATGAAGAAAAAAAAAGGATAATTTCTACTTACCGACCCGAATTTTCAGGACTGATACAGGAAACACAACATTTTGTCCTAGCCTAGGTCTTAGCTCGTAAGCAACATGTTGTTTCTGTTACTGTTACTATTATCAAATGAATACCTGCGATATTCGTGATATCACGGCCAACGAGTGGTAGGCAAAAAACGGGTGACGGTTGGCTGATTTGCCTAACAGTAATTTGCATATGTAGTCAAAAAAATTCATATCTATGATGTTAACCAAAACAGCGATTGCTCGTGTACACTTGCTACACTTTCTTTGTACGTCTTTTTGCAAAACAAAGTTCACCGGAGTGACTCATGAAATATCAAACTAAGTACATGTAATTTAAATGAGTGCAATGTCTGTGGCAATCTTCATCAAATCACAAGAAATATCTGCAATTCTTTTGATGTTAGAAGATACTAAGGATATAATTCACGCATTTCTTGGATTAAGAAGGAAGCGCGGATGAAACGAAGTACACCCGTCGTGAGTTGCGATAGAGGGAGGAAAAAATTAATCACATTTGGGACTAATTGAATTCTGTTGATCACGACTGTCTTGTATTTTGTCAGCGTGGTTTTAAAAGATATATGTTATGCTTTAAATCGTATTCTTGATGTCGAGAGCTCTTTGTTCGTTCTTTTATTGCATTTTATATTATCTTTGTAACTTTCCAAAAATTCTGTGTACATGTCAGTTGATTGGATTAAACTAAACTGAATTGAAATGCAATGCATTGATGGATCGCTGGGACCAATATGGATAACCCACAGTACAATGAGGCAGCGCTTTGCAAAATGCACCCCGTCTTTGGACTATATGTTGTAAATGGACAAGAAACAATGGTTTTAGTATGTTTAGGCTTGGAAACTACCAAAGCCAAGAAATAGTCTGTTCAATACAACGTAATATAACAGTTGTATATGAAGTACATTTAATTCGGATCCTGGTATAATCATTTTTTATTCACAAATAAAAGAATTTCCCTAGTTTTATTAGCATACATATACCCCATACTTGTAATATAACGTGTAAGACATTGTCTTTACATCAATAACATGATTAAACTAACCCGATGACACAATAATTTAGTATTAAAGTCAATCGTCTCCTGAAACGCTAAAGTAATTGTAGTATTTAACATTTTAGAATGGATTGTTAAGTCTCACATTTTGTTAAATTACAAATATGAAAAGAAAAACTTGCTATAATTATACGAAAATCTATAAAATAAGTTTGAAATGTATCATTAATCATTAACGATATGATGCCTTCTAGTTTTAATCCATTCAATTTCACAAAATTTGTAAATTTTTGTGATGTCAAAATGTGTGGGTTTAAAAAGGAACAAGAGTTCCGAGATCTCATACCTCCATGAAATATGGGCTTGATATGTAAATGTAAATTTCTTCTTAAATTACGCAAATGACCTCATATATAGCATAACATAATATATGTATCGTGATGTTAACTTTTAATTAACTTACAGATGTCCCTAGTATGACATTCCCATCATTCACCATTAAGAAATCATAGAATTTTCGCATTGATTATGCAAATTAGGTCATCATTTGCATAATTAGTATCTGTTGATGTTCCATCTGCCATAGGTTACATACATTACATGTATGATGTACTATAATGTAAAACACTGTAATTATTGAATTTCCTCATTAATCATGCAAATAAAGTCCTAATTTGCATTTAATTATGTACATCTCTCTCAGCTACCTACATACCTAAAATGATGAAAATATGTTGTTCCTATCTGGACTTATTGGCTTTCAAAGATTTCGCCCGATGGTCCCCTGCAGTTTTAGAACAAGCTGCTATGGGGACCAAACCCACACCACTTATTCCTGAAAGGAAAAGGTATCTGTCACCAAAAATTCAAGACCATAGCATGTTCAGGACAAAAGATACAAAAACCCGAGGTTCTGCTGCAGTACCAAGGTCATTCACCAGGAGGCCCATATTTGACCTTAACCTTCGTTTTCCTAAGATTTACCAGCATACCAAATATCATCACAATCCATAGTGGCGTTATGAAGTTATGCTGAATACAAATGTGCGGAAACACAAACACACAAACAGACACACATTTACACAGACGGACACACACACACACACACACACAGAGACGCGCAAAAAACAATACCTCCATTTTTCATGGAGGTAACAAAAACGACAGATTTGCATTAAAGAAAGTTTACTCTCCATATAACCTCGTCACTGGGGTACTCGGGGGCGACTGTGTGGAACTCCTTGCCACCACATGTACGAGCAGCCCAGTCTTTGGGAACTTTACAAGTAAGGAACTTGGACTGATAACGGATTGATGATTTGCTATTTCTTTTGTATTATATCTTTTTGGTTTGATTTGTAAACCGTGACCCCGCCCTCACCCTCGACCTTGTTGAAAAGCGGTCACATATGTATGTACCCAACAAGCTTCCGAGTTTAAATAAAGGCTTACTAGTACTACTTACTACAGCATATAGGGTTTGAATATATGGTGTTTAACTATGTGTGAATCTAAATCCTTTTTCTCTACAGCAGAAAAGTCACAATGATCACATTCGTAGCGTTTTTCTCTAGTGTGTTTAGCCATGTGTTCATCTAAATTGCATTTCTGTGCAGCAGAATAGTCGCACTGGTCACATTTGTAGGGTTTTTCTCCTGTGTGCGTTCGCATATGCAGTGAAAGAGTGGTCATTCGAGATGTCCTGTATCCACACTCCCAACACATGTAGAGTTTGTCTCTGTGTTTAGCCTTAATGTGCGTGTTTAAATGGCTTTTCTGTGCAGCAGAATAGTCGCACTGGTCACATTTGTAGGGTTTCTCACCAGTATGCGTCATCATATGCTTGGATAGGTCAGACCTGTAAGCTGCCCTATATCCACACTCCCCACACATGTAGGATTTGTCTCCAGTGTGTTTAGCCAATATGTGTTTGAATACACTGCTTTTCCGTGCAGTAGAAAAGTCGCACTGGTCACACTTGTAGGGTTTGTCTCCAATGTGTTTAGCCACGTGTCGGTCCAAAGTGCCCTTCTGTGCAGCATTATAGTCGCACTGGTCACATTTGTATGGTTTGTCTCTAGTATGGGTCCTCGTGTGACTGGATAGAGCAGACTTGTAAGCCGTCCTATATCCACACTCCCCACACTTGTAGGGTTTTACCCTGGTGTGTTTAGCCATGTGTTGCTTTAAATGGCCTTTATGTGCAGTATAATAGTCGCACTGGTCACACTTGTAGGGTTTTACGCCAGTGTGTTTAGCCATGTGTTCAGTTAACTGATTTTTCCGTGCAGTAGAAAAGTCGCACTGGTCACATTTATGCGGTTTGTCTGTTGGCAGTTCGTCCACAGGAATCTCACAGCTTCTTTTAGCTATTTCTAAAAACAACAATAAGGCATAAGTAAAACAGACTGAATAACAAAAAAATGTTACCATAATAAACATACCCACAGTTTTATTCTACTTTTCTAGAGCAGAAGCACAACAAGGTGTAAATATTCTTGCAAGCGAAGTTCGTGACAAACCCCTTGACTTCATTGGCATTGCAACAGGTCAATACTATGAATCATTTGCATGCCTTCATATAATTCGCATGTATATAAAAATTGGAAAAAGAATAAGTTGCTTTCAATATGAAATTGACACCACAAGTTTATCATTACAGTCCATATTTCTAGACACACTTACTGTTTATTTTTTGTTTATTGTTTATTGTCCTTTCGCACATAAAAAAAGTAATGGTATAAAAAGAAATTATGTACAATCAAATACATGCAGGAGAGCCCAAGAAACCAGGAGGTTTATCTAGTGGGCTCTCCCAAATCCTGTTGATGATCTCATATTTACAACATTATTTACGTTAACAATTTCTCTATTAGGTCAGTTTTTAAATGTCGTTTGAAAGTTGGAAGGGATTGGCAATTCTGCTGTGAATGACTTATACTGTTCCAAATTAACGGGCCTCTAAACATTATCGTAAACTGTTTCATATTTGATTTTGTTAGGATTGGCCTTAAATCATTTTGCTTTCTGGTACTGTAACTGTGGATATCTGAGTTGTATTGAAATATGTCCTTGAATTGAACTGGTAATTCTGTACGACTGTACGAAGTTAGCCCCAGTCTTTTCTAACGTCGGACAACTTCGTACTTCGTCCTCTGGCCCCCGCCCTTCGTACTTAGTTAGATTACGTCACACCTTGCTACGTGAACTCTGTACATCGTACTAATCTCCAAGCAGATCCCTTTCGGTGGCAGAAATACAGTATCAATTTGGACAGGCAGTATCCATTAGCCGGAGAAGGTCGCCGGTCACCGACGGTTGGTGGGGGTAGCGACAAAAAAAAAAAAACAGCCATGTATAAAAGGCTAACCACCATTCCCCCACAACCTCTGATTGGAGAGTACACCGTACACTAGCCCCCGCCCCCTGTACAAAGTAAGGCCTGGTCATTTCTAACTTCGTACAACTTCATAACTTCGTACCTTTCACCCTGATAATACTCTATCAGTGAGCCCAGATTACTTACAAACGTCTCACCTGTGTGTTTCTGAAGTTGTAGGTTTTACAAAACGCTGAATCGGCTTAGATTTTGGAGAAACGATCTACCTGCAGCTGAACAAAATGGCGGGCAAAAATAGCTGGTTACACAAAAAAGCGGTTATACCGGAACAGATAAAGACACGGGTCAGTACTTCAGGAGGGGAAAGGTCAAAGTTGTAACAGCGCGTATATAGGCGTCACTAACTACTAGAGGGACAAGTCTCAAACGGCAGTTGTCTTCAACTGGCGGACGAGAGCAGCGCCAGGCGGGCTGGCGTAGTCAAGGCGGACCTTGAGCGTAACCAAGTCATCCGGCAGCTCGCTGCAAGCATCCCAACCGGAACCAGCACGTCTCCCTCGATATGGATCCGCTGGGGAAGACGGATGCCCAAGTGTTTGGGTATCAGATTCGCAACCTGTTATCCACCTTAAACAAATCCACACGAAGGCCACCGTGTCAACTATGACCCTCACTCAGGTGTAGGGACTGACACGGTCATCCTACTCGGAAAAATCTGTATCTGTATATCTGTATATGAATCTGTATCTGTGCATGAATATGTATCTGTACATGAATCTGTATCTGATTGCAAATAAAAAAAAAACGAGTGATTGCCATAGACAACTACCCGCCCAAGGGATCCTGGATATTTAGGCCGAATCGGTTGTGAGCTGACACGCCGCGCGAGCGGAGCGGGTTTGATCCCGGGGGTCAGAGTCAACCTTCGACTTACTCCTTTCTCTTGTGTTACGATGTGCTCATGCTTGGTTACCCAAACAAAACAGTAACTGTCCGATTGCACTGTAAGAGCCGCAGTGAGCTTTTTAGTCCCTGGTTAACTCCCTTCTGGGCAAATGTAAAGAGGTAACGGAACACCCTCCGATAGCGGCACCAAATGAGGTACGTTGTAAGGGTCCGTTTCATATAGTGCATTACCATTGTGACAACATTTTATACCCCAAAATAGGGAATCTTGCGTCTTGTTTTAGGTCTCGGTAGTAGAAATAATGAAGTCTATTAGATCGCCGCCGTGGTGTATGAACACTTTCCTTCCTGAAATCTTCCACGACACCTTCACCTTCTTACTGAACTCAGATATCCAAAACCACTTCACACGCCAATGCAATTATTTAAGGCCATCCAATGCGAAATCGAATCTTCGTGAATTTACAATCACGTACAGGGGCCCAACAATTTGTAACAACCTAAGTAGAACTTTACAAATTAGTCCCTCCTTCACTATTTTCAAAAATCATATTAAAGTAGCTTTCATAAATAACCCAACACATTCCTAATTTTTGTTTATGTTCCCTTGTTTACTACTTTCATTACTATTTTTCATTATTGTAGATAGTATTGTATCGTATTGTATTTTATTGTTCTGTTTATTTACCCGTTACCTGTTATTTCTTATTAATCCGATTGATTTGAATTGTTAATCACGTTATGAAGGGAGGCCTCCTCATAAGCATTTTATTGTTCCAGCCTCCCTGCACTGTTACATTTCATTTATATTTTCTTGTATTTGTATTGTTACATTTTGTTTTAAAGTGCAAAATAAACTGAACTGAACTTTGACCTTTCCCCTGCTGAAGTGCTGCCCCGTGTCTGTATTGGGATAGCCCAAGGGCAAAGCCGGTCTAACCGCCTTTCGCGTGTAACAAACACACCTATTTTGGTCTGCCATTTTGTTCAGCTGCAGGAAGATCGTTTTTTCAAAATCTAAGCCGATTCAGCGATTTGTAAAACCTACAACTTCAGAAACACACAGGTGAGACGTTTGTAAGTAATCTGTGCTCACTGATAGAGTATTGTCAGGGTGGAAGATACGAAGTTATGAAGTTGTACGAAGTTAGAAATGACCAGGCCTTACTTTGTACAGGGGGCGGGGGCTGGTGTACGGTGTACTCTCCAAGCAGAGGTTGCGGGGGAATGATGGTTAGCTTTTTATACATGGCTGTTTTTTTTTTGTCGCTACCCGCACCGACCGTCGTTTGTTAGTTATCTGTGCTCACTGGTTGTTGTTAATACGTTATAAAGGCCTTTCTACGGGAATGCGGACCGTAGCATTTGGCAAAAAGGAGAGGAAAAGAATTTGCGCTGACAGTCAAACCCCGAGGCGGTTAAACTCACTCACTCTCACTCCCTCCCATAGCTCAGTCGGCCGTCGGGGCCACGGTGTCGGGGCAGCATGATGTTCGGCAAAGGGTCTCTAACTGCTAACGATCTTCTGCCAATCTCGCCATCTGGTTGGCTGTTAGATCGTGATCCCTGACCAACGAGGGACGTCCCCGCTGTCGTGTGCCTTCGACCAAACTCCAAATATTCTCCTAGTCTTGGTCACTGCGAGCCCTCTGCCCATGCTACCAGCACGGTAGTCAGGGACAGAATGAGGTATGGTTGTTTATGTTAGCCGAATTTATTGGGTTCATATATAAGTACAAGGTCTTTTAGCCTCCACCAGGCCTTCCTACGTGAATACGGATCGTAGCATTCGGCAAAAAGGACAAGAAAAGAATTTGCGCTGTCAGTCAAACCCCATGGCGGCCAAACTCCCCTGGCAAGTTAGTCCGTAGTAAGACTAGTAAACGTAGGATCAAGGGATTTTTTGTAGAATGCCAACATCAAACGTAGAAGACGAAAATGTAAAGAAATGAATTTGATGAGTAGATTATTCGCCTTACCATACTCTGTGTCATTTGTTAAACCTTCATGACCACGTAGATTTCATAATGAAATTAAAGCAACTTATAATTATATATTTTGTAAATTTTTACACATGCAAATTATTTGAAGGCATGCAAATAAATCATAGTATTGCCCTGTTGCAATGCCAATAAAATCAAGGGGTTTGTCACGAACTTCGCTTGCAAGAATTTTTACACCTTTAATTGCTGTACTGCTGGACTAGAAAAGTAGAATGAAACTGTGGGTATGTTTATTATGGTAACATTTTTTGTCATTCAGTCTGTTTTACTTATGACTTATTGTTGTTTTTAGAAATGGCTGAAAGAAGCTGTGAGATTCCTGTGGACAAACTGCCAACAGACAAACCGTTTAAATGTGACCAGTGCGACTATTCTACTGCACGGAAATTCCATTTAGTTGAACACATGGCTAAACACACTGGAGACAAACCCTACATGTGTGGGGAATGCGGATACAGGACGGCTTACAGGTCTGTTCTAACCCGACATATGAGGGCCCATACTGGTGGAAAACCCTACAAATGTGACCAGTGCGACTTTTCTGCTGCACAGAAAGGCAATTTCGCTGAACACGTGGCTAAACACAATGGAGACAAACCCTACATGTGTGGGGAGTGTGGATACAGGACAGTTTACAGGTCTGCTCTAACCGTACATATGATGACCCACACAGGTGTGAAACCCTACAAATGTGACCAGTGTGGCTATTCTGCTGCACAGAAAGGCAATTTCGCTGAACACATGTCTAAACACACTGGAGACAAACCCTACATATGTGGGGAGTGTGGATACAGGACGGCTTACAGGTCTGACCTATCCAAGCATATGAGAACCCATACAGATGAAAAACCATACAAGTGTGACCATTGTGACTATTCTACTGCATGGAAACATAATTTAGCCCGACACATGTCTAAACACACTGGAGAGAAACCCTACATGTGTGGGGAGTGTGGATTCAGGACAGGTCATAGGACCACTCTTTCATTGCATTTGAGGACCCACACAGGAGAAAAACCCTACAAGTGTGACCAGTGCGACTATTCTGCTGCACAGAAATGTGACTTAAACCGACACAAGGCTAGACACACTGGAGACAAACCCTACATGTGTGACAAGTGCGGATACAGGACGGCCTATAGGGGTTCTCTTTACAAGCACATGAGAACCCATACTGGTGAGAAACCCTACAAATGTGACCAGTGCGACTATTCTGCTGCACAGAAAGGCCACTTAGAGCAACACATAATGGCTAAACACACGGGAGACAAACTCTACATGTGTTGGGAGTGTGGATTCAGGACAGCTCAAAGGACTACTCTTTCACTGCATTTGAGGACCCACACAGGGGAAAAACCCTACAAGTGTGACCAGTGTGACTATTCTGCTGTACAGAAATGCAATTTAGATGAACACATGGCTAAACACACAGGAGAAAAACCCTACAAGTGTGAACAGTGCGACTATTCTGCTGTACAGAAATGCCATTTAGATGAACACATGGCTAAACACACTAGAGAAAAACGCTACGAATGTGATCATTGTGACTTTTCTGCTATAGAGAAAAAGGATTTAGATTCACACATAGTTAAACACCATATATACAAACCCTATATGTTGTAGTAAGTAGCAGTAAGCCTTTATTCAAACTCGAAAGCTTGTTCGGTACATACATACGTGACCGCTTTTCAACAAGGTCGAAGGTGAGGGCGGGGTCACGGATTACAAATCAAACAAAAAATGACCTCAGCATTAGCATAATATATGCATCGTGATGTTAACTTTTGATTAACTTACAGATGTCCCAACTATGACATTCCCATCATTCACCATTAAGAAATCATAGAATTTTCGCATTGCTTATGCAAATTAGGTCATCATTTGCATAATTAGTATCTGTTGATGTTTCATCTGCCATAGGTTACATACATTACATGTATGAAAGTACTACAATGTAAAACACTGTAATTATCGCATTTCCTCATTAATTATGCAAATAAAGTCCTCATTTGCATAATTTGCATTTAATTATGTACATCTCTCTCAGCTACCTACCTACCAAAAATGATGAAAATACGTTGTTCCTATCTGGACTTATTGGCTTTAAAAAATTTCGCCTGAAGGTCCCCTGCAGTTCCAGAACAAGCTGCTAGGGGGACCAAACCCACACCACTTATTCCTGTCAGAAAATCTATCTGTCACCAAAAATTCAGGACCATAGCATGTTCAGGACAAAAGATACAAAAAACCAGGAGTTCTGCTGCAGTACCAAGGTCCTCCACCAGGAGGCCCATATTTGACCTTGACCTTCATCTTTCTAAGACTTACCAGTATACCAAATATCATCACAATCTATAAAGGCGTTATAAAGTTATACTGACTACAAATGTGAGGAAATACAAACACACAGACAGACACACACACACATACACACACACAGACGCGCCAAAAACAATACCTCCATTTTTCAAAAACATAACTATCGTAAATATTGTTAATATTACTATAGTTAAATCATTGCTATCATTATCACAATCAATATATTATCATTTCAAGTATAGATACATGTGGACTTTTCACAAGCGTACCTGAGCAGAGGAGAGAATTTATCTCGTAAGTTAGCGCCTCTAGCAGAACATTCAGGAACTGCACTAAATACATGTACGAAGACACATGGATGATTCCCAAAGAGAGGCATATATGCAGAGATAAACGGGTAAAAACAGTAATGTAAGGTAAGGTTTAGTGAAGAAAAAAAACAACAGTAAATTCATTACCGTTTGAACACCAGATCAACATAGTGCCGTTAGTAGTTCCCGTGAGTGTATATGTCAGAGTGAATTGCTAGCTTTATGATACTGCTTTTTTTATATTCCAAAATATAATCACAAGACGTGGTGACGGTATACTCAAGTCTTTTCAACTTATATTAATGCCGCCACCAACACAGGGGACAATACAATACTCATTTTTACCTGAGCAAAGGGAGGAAAGTCGCGTAAAGTACCTTTCCCTAGGAAAAAGTCTCTTTCCCTTGGAAAAAGTGCCTTTCCCTAGGGCACAAGATCGGTGGTATGTCAGGACTCGAACCCGAGACCTCTTGGTTTCGAGTCGAGTACTTTGCCGCTATGCCACACGACCCCACGATGTATATGATGCTGTTGTTAGTGGTAAGGAGGCCAGTGACAAACGAGTGTGTTAACTTATTTCTACGGGCATCAAAGGTGTCTACACCCTCCGACACAAACATTATACTGGCACTCTCGTACTTTCCATTGGCAAACAAGATCTATCGATGTTCTTCCATCCTTCTATCACGGAGGCCTGATCTCCCGGGTGTCCGCGCATAGGGGCGGTGATAGATGGCGGAGTTAGGGGCAGGATGGGAAATATGCGGCGGATGGGATCGTCTGTCCGCCCCCGAAATCCACTGGGATTGTCACCTCGTCTGAGGCAGTATCGGCTGGACTACTGACACTTCTCACCGCGCCCATATCTATACATTCTCTTTGACCTCTGCCAGAGGTTTTGCTTTTCTCTCAAAGCCATATTTGTAAAATTTACTGACACAAGACATGCCCAGTTTTAAAAAGACCAATGTTCCCTCCATGCGTAGTAGACTGGTATATTTTTTAAGTCAAAGACAACTCCGATGGCAGCCAAGAGGCTGAATAGCCAAGAGGCTGAATTTGCAGATTCATTTACAATTTTACAAGCTATCACAAATTAATTCCCTTGAAATATCTAAGATCACTAAAATCTTGGATCGCAAAATAGATAGAACCGATAGTAACACGAAAAAGATTACTTGTTGCCTTCCCAGAAGCACAATACATTGCAATTTCTCATTGGCAAAACATCATTTTTTTAATCAATGTTTTCTTGTCATGTTTTGATCTAGTAAGTTGTCTAAATCCTATCCCATAGCATATTGATATCTTGCGAAGAAAAAATACAATGTCGCTGACGAAAAACGATTGCTTGTTTTGCATGGTAGGCTAGTGTTACTTAAAAAGGAAGAGATTCATCAAGTATGAAATGATGACGACAATGTGCTAAGAAATTAGAGTGAATGTCAATATCAGACGGATTTGCTCATCGAGAAAACTTTTCATTTTGCTGTCCTGAAATTGCATTAGATGTCTAAAAACAATAAGAAAAAAAAAGAAAAAAAAAGTTTCTTTTTCTATGAAGCAACAGCCATATGAAAGATGTGCCCCTAAATTTACACGGCTTGGGAAGAACCATTTGGCCTGGGCTGAGAGTGGAGAGTTGGACTAAGCCCGGCAGCGAAACACATTACAGCGGAGAATCCGTGTAATCCCCGGGGCTTGAGGAGTGCAAGTCAGTGCATCTGTCTCTGTCAGTGGATACCTCTAATGGCGAAGTGCGCCCGAGTGTGATGTGGTGCGAATGATGCAACAGGAAGGTGATATATGCCTGCCTGCCTGCCTATATGCTCAGACCAGATTGGTTTATTTCATTTCAGTTATTTATATTTTGTTATGTATGGACTACTTCATCTAAAGTTGTATATAATTTGTCTTTACTCTCCGAGTCCACATTTTGTTTACTTCATTGTTAATTTGATTTTCAAAGTGTTTGGTTGCATGTTGTTTTCCAATCACTTTCAGTTATATCATTTTCTATTATTTTGACCTCTGACCTCCCATTCAGTTCATTTTAAGTTCTATATGCTGAGTTTGGTTAATTATCCTCTGTTATCTCAGGATAAATCTTTGTTATGAATTTATTATTATTATTTTCCGTTATTTATTGTTTATCTTAATTTATGTTTGATTGATTTATTATTGTTTTTACTATTTTTGTTTAGTTAGTTGGACTCCAGGAAGAGTAGTGTAAACTTAATGTATTACACTAAATGGAGATCGAAATAAAACAAACAAACAAACAAACAAAACCAGATACTGGTCCCTTGCTCCCCTCCGTCAGGGTCCTCCGGCCAGCTCTATCAAGGGCAATAGTCTCTGCTTCCCTTAGGGTAAGCCCTGTATCCGTCTGAATCTGGTCTTTCCACCTCTTGGGTGGTCTTTGCCGGGGTCTGGGGGTTTTGAACTGATGGTGGTTAGCCTTATAAAATAAAGGTGTTTGCTGTCTTCGCATCACATGCCCAAACCATCTGAGCCTTCTAGTGCATATCTTGTCACTGATGGTTTGTTCTGCCCCACGTCTTGACCGGATTTTTGCATTTGGGATGTGGTTCCAAATGGATCTATACCACTCCCATATTATTCGATCCGATAGCCTGACTCTCAGCCTTTTTAGCTTTCGTCCGCTCCCCACACCCAGTGGGTGTCCCTGATGGAAGACAGAAGAAAAATGTCAAGACTATGCATAATGTGCACAATGACAAATAAACTGGTGGACGTCCCAACTACTAAGTACCTAATACCAGCTCAGGAGAGAACAAGAAATAGCCATGCCTTCAAGTACCAGAGTTATCAACCAAAAAATGGGGTGTTCAAGAATTCATTCTTTCCTAGAACTATCGCAGAGTTGAACTCACTGTCACCAAGTACAGTAGGGGCATTGTCATTAGATAGCTTGAAACAATGTCTAGAGTTAGATGTTCAAGGGCACGGTTAGGTGTAACAAGTCGATCGGTATAATGTAGCCAGCTGCCGCGGCGACGCGTGTCTGCAAAGCTGGTGTGTAACGCCGAAGGGTGGTTCAGGTGATTGGGACGTCCACCTCTTTATTAGTCATTTTGTACATCATGCATAGTTAATATACAGTGTGTTACACTGGTAGCGTAACACACCAGCTTTGCAGGCACGCGGCGCGGCGGCTGCTGGCTACATATAAAAATATAACACCGATCGACTTGTTACACCTAACCCTTGAACATCTAACTCTAGACATTGTTTAAAGCTATCTAATGACAATGCCCCTACTGAACTTGGTGACAGTGAGTTCCACTCTGCGATAGTTCTAAAAAAATAATGAATTCTTGAACACCTTAATCCTTGGTTGATAACTCCAGTATTTAGGGCATGGCTATTTCTTGTTCTCTTCTGGGCTGGCATTAGGTACTTAGTAGTTGGGACGTCCATCAGTTTATTAGTCATTGTGTACATCATGCATAGTCTGGAATGTTTTCTTCTGTCTTCCAGTGAGACCTACTGTAGGTTTGTAAACTGAAAACCTACCTCATGTTATTCAGCATCCCAGGTCATCAAAAAAGGACAGTTCAACGTCCGTGCAACACTTTTTGATGGCTGAACTACTTCTACGGCCATAACCATAACTCACCGCCTCAGTAATGGGTTCTTACAGCCAGAACGGCGACTTTGCTTGCTCCAACGACCTAAGAACAGGCCACTCTCACTTTGCCGTTATTATCCAAACAACTTTTACTATCATCGGCTTAACTTCTTTTTGGCAACGTCTCAGGGAGGGGCCTAATGGTACAGTGTTGTGTGCAGTTTGCAAGAATTCTACGAATGGTACAGGCATTTTGTCCACAGGAATGGAATGTCCACAGGTATGTCCCTGACCCACATCTATGGAAACCTTTGGGAAGACCTGTCTTCCCAGGATGGCCCTACTTTCTGTGACCCCGGGGCTCGTTTACTATACACTCAGGGGAGGGGTGCACTGTATCTGTCTAGACTTATTAAACAGGTACCAAGTCTTCCTCAAAATCATGAAATCAGTGCCATGCAAACAATAACCCTAATAGCAACCACCGTCGCCATGGCAATGTATGTTTTCATTGCCAGTATTTCTTTGTGTTTGTGTGTGTGTTGTGGGGGTGGGGGTGGTAGGCAGCAAGGCATTCCATGTGTACATTTCTTTCATGTATTTTTTTTCTTTTCATGTATGCAATGCGGATTTTCATGTATGCAATACATTTCTTTCATGTATGCAATGCGGATATTTTAAAGAAACACAATGACAACGGCCTTGCAAATTTATGAGCACAGCGTTGTATTTATTACAGCGGACAGTACAGCGGGTTCTTTTAACTCGTTTCTAAATGACAGTGATAGCGTCTGTTGCGCAATATTGCCAATCAGTTATTTCCTGACATTGACATACCTAATACCTGCAATTGTTGCCAATGGATACTTGTTAACATTTCCTCTGCTGCGTACATAGAGCTCCAGTTCTGACAATAGCGATATCCAGCATCATCTTTTTGCTTATAAACCAGTTAGGATTCTTATCCACCATACTCCATACATTTACATCACCATATACTAGCTGTTTAAAGTCCTTAAAACATTCGGCTTCATACGATCTGATTCCTTCACATGTAGTTCTTACCTCAGCGCTTGGTACAACATTGAAGAACAGAAAAATCAGGGTGTGCTGGAGGCACTCCAAATGCGCTGTAAGTTTCTTGGTAATTGACTGTTTTGGGCGTTTCCTTCTATGTATTAACCTGCAATTCTGTACATCTCAATTCATTGACCACTACCAACGATACAGTTTTTTTTTCAAATCGGACAAAAAAAAAACCCAAATTTTACGCATGTCTTTTAAATGTAGGTGCATAATCTTAGCATCTAAGATTATTACAGATATGTGAAGTCACATATTCCAGATTGTTGCAATTTAGAAATTTCAGGACTCTTTTGTGTATCTCTTCTTATTACAAAATTATTTCCGAGATTAACATTTAAGCAAATATTAAGTATAGCAATGAGCTATATTTTTATTTGGAAATTTACCTTCATTTAGGAGAAAATTGGGCTTATCCTAGCCAAAGTTTAACAGCACAATGTAAGTGAAGACCCTCACCAATGTCTCTCTTTACACCATACAATAACTAAACAAACAATAAAATCTCCAATCGCATCATCATTATAAGTCGTAGTCACAATTTATCGTTTAGCATAGATTCTTTCTGGCTATTTTGTAAGATGATGCAAATAGCAGTTATGCATGAAGAGTAACTTTCCTTATAAAGTCTTCTTTTTGTTTAATTTGTACTCGACGCACGGTATCTTGTCCTTATGCGTTGCTTGAATCACATATATTCAAAAATCATCCTGTCCTGTCCACCCAAATATTCTAGTAATTGCTTGGATAAAGATTGATATTATGCACAGGGCACTCTAATGTCCACTTTAAGGTATTCCCTACAATATACTACTGATTAGGATGGATCCATGGTGGCAAGGTGCACTTGATTTAAGGACGCACCTAATAGTCCTAAAGTGTAAATCACTGTTGATAAAGATCTATTCCATCTTATACGTATTAACATACCATTTCACACAATTATCTTTGATGGAATGCTATGCTGAAAAACACTAGTCCTGTAGGTAATGTGCATTGGACATCATTTGACCACCCATACACTCGTACTAATGCTAACTATATTTTACTAGCGACCGTAGGCATCGAATATTCCTTAACTTAGAGTTGTTGTACCTATTTAAGCGTTGCTATAATTGCAGATACCTTTTAACTGTAGCAAAATGACATATTTACATATTTTGCATATGATACATATTTTGGAGAATAGGGGCATGGGTAACGTTTGCTACACACCATTCTAGTCCATACCAATAGAAAGAAGTTGCACAATGAGTGCGGGGTGGATACTTGTTGCTACTCGTCATTAATTTTGATATGTAAGTAACATCGTATTAAGCAGTTTTAATGTAACTTGATTGGCAAAATTAAATTTCTATCACTTATGGAGGATTCTAATTATTTCAAAATCCACGTTTCAGCACAATAATGAAGAATTAAATTACGAAATGCCTTGTTTTTTTTTCGTTTGAAGCAACAGTTTTGGATAAACTATTTTTCTTGGAAAAATGTATGAATGAAATCAAGTCAAGCTATTGTATTAACTGAAACGGGTGAAAAAATATTTTTACGTTTCGTGTTTTTGGATAAACGGTGGGCAAGAACACCAAGTATCTTTTAAAGACGACAGCCACATAACGTAGATTAAAATTGGTCTCATTTAAAGTGGCTTGCATGAAACTAACATAATACTGTATCTCCAAATGCTATACTCACAGTAGCCTAACAATGTTTCACATTTCTAAAGCATTAATTGTTTTTCATAGTATTCCCTATTTTTGTGCCTGTGAAGTATGGACACCTGTATAGGGTATCTGGTCATAATATAAAGTTGACAAAAAAAATCGAACACAACAAATCTTAACACTGCACGAAAACTTAGATTTACCGATACTAGTATAGTTGGGTAATGTTTACTTTGTTTTTTGTTTAATAAACACTTCTGAACTTCACAATGGCAGTAAATAAAGGTAAGGTAATACCGGACTTTTATGGTTGTAAAGTAAATTACTGCAATTGAGTTTTAGTTACTACCATTGTAAAGCCAGATACTATGTAAATAGTAAACATTACCTGAGTTTACAACCTTTGGTAAATACAACTTTTCGTGCAGTGCAATTTAAAGAATTGTAAGCTACTGAAGTGGTCAAACCCAGGTAGGGTCTCCAATCGCTCCTGTAAGCCTCTTGTCTACATCATCCACCATAACTGTAAAGCTCTTTTTGTCAGATTCGATCAGATGCCAGACAGTTTCGGAATTAGCTTTCCTCGGACTCTTCACTGAAAAGTCCAGCTTTAATGACGCCCGCTTCTTTTGCTGTTCCGTGGTGTATTCCGCAGTGGCACCTTCTTCTTCAGCTGCAGCCACGTTCTCGGTCGTTTGGTCGATATCTCTCGACTTTTCTGCTGCCTCAGCTTCTTCTTTGTCCGTACCGCCGGTGCTCTGGGAGAGCTGATTGAGTTCTTCTTCTGGAGGCTCTACGGTCGGTGAATGGTTTGTTATCCTCACCTCAGGAATGCCGCTGATGCCGACACCATCCTCCTTCTTCTCCGGTTGCACAGCTTCGAGTTGACTTTGTTTTTCCATCGATGTTGCCTCGTCTTTCTTGTTCGCATCTGGTGTGTCGACTTTCTTCTCTGTGTCGGGATCCGGGTCAGTTGTCTGCCCAGCCTGGCCGTCTCCCTGCTGCCTGGGCTCCTGGTTCTCCCTGGCGTGCCGACGGTGGTGATGATGGTGATGATGGCAGGTCCTCTCCTTGCGCTCCCTACAAACAGATCCAAAATCACGAGTTTTTTTCTATTGTTTAGGCCAGTATTATATGGATGACATCTGGGCATGAATTTCGGCTGTTTCCAAAAAACGTTTTCAACTATACTGCAAATCGTACAAAACAGTTGCAAAATGTGCAACCGTAGGTTTGAAAAAACATTGAAAAACAATACTAATGTTGTAGAATGCCAAAATCAAGCGAAAAAGACGAAACTACTTAGACTAACTACTTACATTAAATTTGTACAATTTCCAAATCTGACATGCAACCAAAAAAGCGTTTAACACAATAATGTATGATGCTTTTATTCATCTATTAGTAACTTTTTAAGCTTCAGAACGTACTGAGTTGTTCTAGTGAAACTATAGGGGTTTACGCACTACAAAAACAATAATAGACAATCATGTCTTGAGACAACTTCTGAGCAATTCACTCATCAAATACACTCATTCATCTCAAATACACTTTGACCACAAACCTGTTAGCTTCTTCATCAAGACTTTCCGAGGAGCAGAATTTGATGCCCCACATGTAGAACTCCTTGGACGGCGAGATCTTCCCGTGGTACCTTGATAAATAAAAATAAATTATTTTTTTATTGTCCGAACAGTGTCCGTGCAGTCGCAGCCTTTATACGGCTGAATTGATGCAGGGTATCACGTAATAACCAAGACAAATCACAACAATCAAATGATACACGACACACAGATTTGCTCCACAGATTTTTTGTGGAACTGTCGCAAGGGTCTGTGCGGCTGCCATTCGGCGCCACAAGGTGACCTCAATATGGCTTTCACCAACCGAAGTTAGGTACCCATTCACACCTGGGTGGAGTGAGGAAAGTCGTGTAGAGTTCCTTTCCCAAGGGCATGTCCGGACATGTCCCGGGTACAACAGGGGAACGAACCCAGGTCTCCCCTCTTCATAGTCGAACACTCTACCACCACGCCATCCGACGCCACTTAATTTGGCGACGCCACTTACCTTGGTGATTTCCGCTCGGCCGTGAGTTGCTGCGAGCCGGATGCATCTTCAGCGTTGTCGTTGTTTGGCTTTGCCTCCGCCGGGGGCGATCTCTCGGCTTTACAGGTTGCCGGCTGTGCCCTCCCCGGTGGCTCCAACACGAAGTGTAGATTGTTGTTCAACTTATCCGTAGAGCCCAAGGCTGCCTCAAGTCGACACTTCCTCAATGACATATACCTAGAGAAATGAACGAATGATCAATTACATACTTTTTCGACTTCCAAAAATTTGTCTTCACTTTATTTGCATATCAATCAATAGATTGTGCCTATAAACCTGCATTTCCCCTCTGGTCTCTCAGTCACTGACGAAAGCTAGTGGATACTAGCTGAAACGTCTGACGTTTTCAAAATCATATCCAGTTGCTTGAGTAACTGCTTTTTGGCGTATCAATTACATGTAATTAGTAAGGGGAATATAGGTGATTGTTAAAGGCTGTTTTTAGGGCTTTTAGGGCTTTTTAGGGCTAGATTTTGCAAAGTCAATATTCTAGTCGCACACTCTTGAAATAAGACTGTTCCAAAGTATATCGATATCTCTGTATCAAAAATGCCCGAAATGCTGACGAAAAATGGTTACTGAAAGGACCTGGTTCCAAGAAAGTGAAGGACTAATTTTGGGGCCTGGTTCTGCAGTTTTAACCCTCAACAGTACACCTTCCCGGACTGATTAATCTGTACACCTGGGGTCCGCGCGGACCCCAGAACAGTTTTTTGCTAATTTTTAGAAATTATCAACATGCTACCAGCTCAATTGTTTTGCAAACTGATGTGGGAACCTCTGTGTCCACATTACATACAAAAATCATACATTTTGAACTTTTTCTATTTTTTGGTGAAGAAAAGAAGACAAGAAGAAAAACCCGATTTTTAAACCCATTTCAGACTGAAGGGGCTTTTGAGGCCCAACTTTGATCTCAGATAGCGGCTAAACGGCTTGCGCTAGAAGTATCAAATTTGGAGACCTTTCCTAAAATGTCTCTGGAAAAAAGTTCATATTAGTTTAATACTAGTAAGTTGATGTTTTTTTGTGTTGCCATGGCAACGGGTTTTTAGCAGGCAGTTTTTTTGAAAATAGAAGTAATTTTGGTTTAAACATAAAAATTTTCTGAGTTTTATATTAAATTACACTTCTTTTCAAACATTAATAACATCTTACATAATTAAATATAAGTTAAATCATTTAATATGCATAGAATATGCTAATTTGATGACGTCATTGGTCAAAATCCAATATGGCGGACTATATAGCTCTGACGTCATATGACGTCATAATTACACCAAAGTTATTAAAATTTAATTCTATTACTACACAATTCTCTGAAAACTTGGTAGACATACGATGAGTGCATAAAAACATATCAAAACGGAAATAAGGTAATGTATAAGAACGCCAGTGTATCCATTATGATCGAAAGCCGGCTGGGGTCCGCGCGGACCCCAAAAGAAAATCAAATATATTTTTTTTTATAAATGGTAGAAACGGAGTTTTCTGCACTGTATTGAGAGACAACTTTGTGGGTGACAATTACCTAAAATTTCAGAAAAAAATCTTTAGAAACAAAAAAGATATTACAGAATATATAGTGCTGGGGTCCGCGCGGACCCCAGGTGTACTGTTTAGGGTTAAATGTTCAAAATACTGATTCAAAAGTGTTAATGCGGGACAGTATGTGTCAATATCATTCAGATTGCCTTATTTAGAGTATTTCCGGTTTTATCGCCCTAAAGTTGAATTGGACGACTTTAATTATTTTTTGCTCACTGTACATGGCCAATGTTTACCCTTAGATGATTTATTCACTGCACGGCAAATTGTTCATAATAACTTGTTAGAGGGCACTGGCAGATAATACTCTAGACGTTATGCTAGGTAGCATTATGAAGCTAGCTGCATGTTGACCGTGGAAAAACTATTTCATTTATTTATTTATTGTATGTACATTGCCAATACATGTACTTTATTACAGTTACATGCTTTATTCCTCGCATATCAAATGGTACACTTTGGTACACAAGATCATATTAATTAAATGGCGATACAAAAATACGATGGTCTATGTAATATGCTATTACTTGAAGTGTGGTACATAGTATTACAAGTCTACTGTACCTGTTCTCACTATCTTTGTCCAACGGGTCCAGGCGTGTTTTTCGGATCCTCTTCGGCAGATAGTCCTTGGAGTAGTGGATGTCTCTGTGGAGCTTGTCGGTTGGAGATGTGAAACCTTCATCAACGTCCGCGGCAAAGTGAACGTGCATGTCTTTTTTGCCACTGTAAAAGCACATAGTATTACATATTTTAACCAAATATGTTTAAACTACAGTTGTGGACTTATGAGTTTGTCTGTCAAGCCTGATGCCCACCATGCGACTATAATTGTTTAGGACTGTCGATAATGGTTTTGGACTGTCGATCTACAATATACGTATTTGTAAATATGTGTATATATAAATAATATAGTCAAATGAGTTCTACAAGTATTATAAAATGATTTAATTTTTTAGACTTTATTTCTTTTACCTTGATAAGCTACTTAAATTTGGTCTTGAACAGGTTGCTTCTTCCATTTTTTTTCAATTACTTGCTATTGTTACAAGTTAACATTAGAAGTCTAGTTGTAATTTCTCATTCTTTATGATTACATTATGCATGGTTTCAGGCGACCCAAAACCGCATCCTACCACCCAGGACATACTAGGATACATCCCTGTCAATCTACTGAAACCAAGTCTTCACCCACTTACTCCACTTACATTGACTGCTGAGTACAAGATACATGCAAACTGCTCCTAAACTAGTGTTGTCCACGGAAATATACATATGGAGCACACCTGAAGCATGTGGCCTCCTTGCTTTCCTTCAAGAGAACCTCGAGACGTTCCGCTGCTCCCAGATGAACCGATGGTCTCGTCCATTTCATGACCTTCTCAGAGTCTGTGTTGTTTTCATCCTCTTCTTCGTCAGTAAGCTCAGTGATGTCATCAACGTCTCCCTCCGACATCGAGTCCCCCAGACCGGACTCTTCGCTATAGAAAGAAGACCTGTAAAACAACATGGAATAATAAACATACTAGAAAGGTAAAATTTGCAAAACAAATACATTAACAAACCTTCGATCTGCTCTGATAATTCTTACTCAAACACATCCATACATATGGTCAGACTGGAGTCTAAATCCCCCACGCTATAAAATTGCAACATGATGTAACCCAACACTAGTGATAGTGACAGACGTCTGGTTCAGGTCATTGACCTTATTTGTTTGAAGAAGAAAAAAGGAAAGCGAGAAAAACAATATTTTTTCCTTCGGTAAACAAAATAATAATTTTGGTGCATTTTTACGTTTTTGTTTACCAACAACGTTGTATCAGCAAATGTGAATTATGTGGTAGAACTTACCTGTTGTACAGATCGAACTTGCCGTTGACAGCGTCTTCCACCTCCCTTACCCTCATGTCAAACTCCCTCACACGTCTTTCTATCGCTGTCACCTTGACCGCGACATCTTCCAAGGTCATCTGCAAATCGCATAATCACATAGTAACAGCATTGTTAAAGGCATCCTATGCAGTTTTTTAGGGCTTGTTTCTGCAAATTTTTCAAAGTCAATAATCTAGTCACTTATTTACCTACTAAGTTGAAACAATTCTTTCCTAGATTATCATGAAAGTTCATCTGTGTTTGTGAAGTGATTGGTTATTAGTTATTCTGATGAAGGCGACAGTGGTCGCTGAAAATTTGATCTTTGTAAATTGTGTGTTGGAATAAAGTTCATCATTTTACTACAATTCTATCCTAATGTATATCGACATTCATAGAGCAAAAATTCCCAATATTCTGAGCCAAAAACGGTCACTGTAAGGTTCCGGATTTTTTTTATTGTACCACCCAGGAAACAGAGGACTAATCTTGGGGTTCTAAATGGTTTAATTGATAGAGACCTGTCTATCAAACTCATTGAATAGTTACAATTATTTAAGTCTTTTACTGCTTTATTTTATCAGCATAAGTCCAATTCCATTTATACATGTAAGTAATCCGTATAAATTCAGCCCCAACGTTTGAAGAGCTGTTTGTTGCTAGTTACTAGAAAAAAAAAACACTTAACTACCTTTATGAGTTTAAACCTTCACCAACATAACTACCAACCTTAACTTCTTCCTCTTCCTCTTCGTCAATATCTTCTTTAGATGCGGTCCTGTTGTCCTTATAGAAAGTTTTGTTGTCTGTCTGGTAGGGCATGATAGACTCATCTACCGAGATAGTGATGTCCCTGGTCAAGGAAAGAAAAATCAATGTAGAATCCATCCGTGAATAGTTTCAATCTTGTTTGTAAGACACCTGTGATGCAGTGAGATGTGAACCAGTCAAAATTTCCCTGAGGAAGGTGACAGACGGTCACCGAAACGTCGACCGAATACAAGACTTGGTTGAGTACAAGGAGTCTCTTTACTCAATGTAGAATTCATTTACAAACTTGTGTTGGAAATGGTTAATAGTGAATACATCTATGACTTAATGTAGTATGAATGTAAATCAGTAATCTAGTTTTCGTGCCAGTGTGTGCACATCCTAATATTTTATAACTTTATCGCTCAACAGTTGTACAGGGGACAAAGTAAGGCAGCTACTAAGTGCATGTTAACTACATAATGATTGACCTAACTGACACAAAGGTGGATGGCTAGCATTGGATCGGTATGAATTTTTATAATCATTGTAGGATTTTCTAATATCTATACAGTCTTTGATATATCCCTATATATAGGGATATGTCTTCTAGCCTACTCGGCTGAATAAATTATGTTATACCGCCAAAGACACCCTTCTCTGTACGTTATTTATCGCCCTGATGTGTTAGCAAGGAGTATGTGGAGAGTAAAACTCTGTTTGCCGCGAAATGCTAGCCAAGAATTAGTGGAGAGTAAAACCCCTTTTTGCCAGGCAAAGATAGGGATATGTATATGTGACGTGCAGGGGTTGTCACAAGTCATTATGTATCTAAATTTGCTTGTATCAAATCCTGGAATAGTATAGTGATAGTCTAGTGAATAATGAATTGCATATATCAATATATTTAGGACATTTTTTAAAAATACTTTCCCAGTTATATTTTCATAATAGCTTTAACTCTGGCTGTACATGCAAATGTTAACGGGAACGAGGGCGACACAAGTTATCTGGCACATATGACCCGCTACTACGGTCACGTGTCTCTGACGTGTCACGTGTCATGTTTCAAGAGTAGACGGTACATTCCGTGAACAAGGTTGAAGGAGTCAGTCAAAAAATTGGGGTAACTCCCAGATTCATTCCAGTAATGTAAGGAAAGTTTAATCTGTATTTCATAATGGGTAATGACATCAATACAGAACAGCTGTCTGACTACCTGTTGTCTGTAATCCTGATGACGTTTGCATTGTCATCCGTGGTCTTTGTTTGGTAAAGCTTGTGTTTCCTGATGTAGTTGATGACCCCGTCCGGAAGAAGATACTTCACACTTTGTTTTCGACGCAGTGCTCTCCTGTATTTCAAAAAAATAAAAAAAGGTGATCAGTCAATAGGTTATCTAAAATGTCATTTCATTGTCAAAACATTGGATCAGCAACATACAAAACGAAACAACAAACAAAAGGAAAATGTTTTTACCGTTTTTATAAATGCACAAAAACACAATAAACTACTTACTAATCACAATAAAACAATGGTGTAATTTTTGTTACTAACAGTCGATAAACAAATGTATAACCCAACATTGTAACCGTGTACACAACATGTATAAAACAACATTGTATTCAAACAATTTTTACATCTACTTTTACTGTGTATCTTTGTTTTGAAACTGTAGTTTATCACATATACAGAATCTATAACGAATACATCCCTATTCTTTTCAATCCTGTCTTCAACCTGTAGGATTTTAAAACATTTTTCAGTGTCACTAAACTAAACTATTTACTGAGCCAGAGGTGCTGAGTCCCTTCATGCCCATAAAATTTCGTTAAGTATCATGCACGTCATTGAGTTTATGACTTATGGCATTATTGGGAACAATGTCCTAAAGATAGCCATAAACATTTCTGAACAATGACTGTATAGAGGCTTGGTGCTGTATTTATGAGGTGATTCGTTATGAAGTAAAAGTGCTGCAGGCCAAAATCTATATGTTGAAATTGAGCTATGCGTGGTGGTGTAGGCGTAAGCTAGATTTATTGGATGGATGTTACTGGTGCTACGCACACCAGGCTCACGCCTACGTCTCTATTCACAAGTATGATGGTGTCTGTGATTAACCCGTGACTGTCAATGGAGACAATAACACATTTAACCTTGTAACGTTGTTAAAATGCGATAGCTTTTCTTCATTGTAAGCTTGATTTACATCAATATCTGGGTGAAACGTGTAATTCTTTTCTTAGAATCTATTCAACAAAAAATTAAGTAGAATACTTTTAGAGTCTTAAATTATTAATGAGAATCTTTCTGATATAGCTAGTTGTTGTCTGTATGAACCAATTTGTTTCTTTATCTGCGTCGCTGATATAACGAATTCGGCGTAACATACCAGCTAAATTATAATGAAAATTGCAAATACAGAATACATTTTAGTCTACAAAGATGACTGTGTCAGAGGAATCTTCATTTCCGTTTTGCTAAGTTAAGTTACACCAAGAAAACTGAAAATTGCTTTTTTAAAGCGATCCTAGAATCAGAATTAGTTGCGTCCTCCGATTAAAGAGACAATTAACTGTTGCTACATTTAAGATATTACCAGTTTTACATTAACAATTGATGTAGACACTGATCAAATATTCTTAAATTGTATTTTTAGGACAGAAACTTTTAAACCTTTAATGGTGAGCAATATCTTAGGCGTAACCACTTTTAAAAATGTGTTCTCGAAAAAATTAGAACCTCCACTATAATCTATTTTGTATTAGAATTGTACAAAAAAATCTCGTTTCTATCTTACCTCACTTTGGTTGGTATGATCTCGTTCTCAATCCAGTCAGTCACAATGTGGATACTCTCCTAGAATACAAGCGTAAGAAATCAGTCTGTGCTGTAATATTCTATTTGTAAAAACAAGACACTGACTTTGGCCTCTTTTTACCACGGGGATATGATATTGCAAACCCTTAATTCTTGTATACCTCGTAGCTAATTATTTTTAAAAAAGTATAGATGCAAAGACAGGTGTTCTAGTTAGGGCATCGATAAATACAAAAGTGCAATACAATACAACTGATGTTGGTGTAACAAATACTGTAAATAAATAAAAAAAACTATAATAAGTAAGCTAAGATATGCATATTTTGCATTAAAAACTACCATAGAAATATCATGCTCATAACGTCTCAAAATGTCATTTATGGCCAGCTTCCTAAATGTATTTTATTTATATGACTGGTTTATTGATGTCAATGTAAAACAGTTTTGCAGAACCCAGGGGTTCTGAATTGCAATGTTACTCACAATTACAAAGATTAAGACTAAAGACGTAGCCCATCCCATTAAAAGCTTTAAAATCAAACATATCTATTACAACATATGCACATACATGTATGATAAAATCTATTAAAGTAGAGTTTATGAGTGTAAATAAGTTTGCATTGCTGAATAAAATACTCTACGCTTACCTTGTATTGAGAGAGTACATCGGATTCATATATGACCTGTTCTGGGTTAAAACCGTCACGTGCTATGCAGACCAAGCCAAAGTGCTTCAATATGTCCACCACCTAAACAGAATATGTACATCTTCTATTAACATCATGATATATATTTTAACAAAAGCACAATTGGTAAAGGCTGCTTGTACAAACGGTAAGTGCGGGTTACCCAATGAATCTGAGTGTCCTATAGTTATTATTATTATTATTATTATTATTATTATTATTATTATTATTATTATTATTATTATTATTATTATTATTATTATTATTATTATTATTATTATTATTATTATTATTATTATTATTATTATTATTATTATTATTATTTATTAAAATGTGATTGTTGTAAATTGTCCCATGCTTTTTGCTTTAAAAAAGGCTAACAAAAATGGGGTAGAATTTGTTTCAATTGATATTCAACGTCTACATCTCTGTTATATGATATATCTGAAATTGATATTCAACGTCTACATCTCTGTTATATGATATATCTGAAATTAATATTCAACGTTTACATCTCTGTTATATGATATATCTGCAGGACAAAGGGTAAAGGCGTTAACAAATAAGCATTGTGATCACTACATCGTTTTTTACCAACGACAGTAAGCGGAAGGCTTGGGGCATTCATGCACATGTGCCAAACTGTCCTCTTTAACATGCTAAGAATTATGACTGATGGAGAAAAAACGGTGGCGTTGACAGCCTTTGCATTACATGTGGCTTTCAAAACGGTGTTTAAAGATGTTATCGCACCTCGTTTTGCCTCCAGACTCCAGGTTTTGCAAACGCCTCCAGCATTTCTTGACTGCAAAGCAGCAGAACGGTGATGCCTGCAAAGAGAAGATTATGCCTGTCAAAATCAAGACGACTACTACACGGCAACAACCATCTTTCGTCCATAAGATGTACATTTTAACATACATGAATTAAAGAATATATAAGCGTATCTTATGTGGAGATCACATTTTAAACCGGGGCCCGGCCGGGCTGTTTCGATTAACGAAAAATCAACATTTTACATCAAGAATATACGCAAATAGTTCCATTTTTTAAAACCTTTTTCGGTGCTTCGTTTATTTTGTACAATATCTTTCGTTCCATAAAACTACCCGGCCGGGCCCCGGTTTGGAAATGTGACCTCAGCGATATCGTTTAAGTATATTGAAACGATGCTTACCTTTCTTCTTTGGTATTTCAATCTGTTGAGCATCATCTACATTGATAAAAAAACAGATTTAAAAGGTCAGAAAGGTAAGTGCAAGAATAAAAAAATGTGTACTTACTAATTGTATTAGTCTGCTGTCTGATGTCTTTAGAAGCTTTTTAGTAATTATTTAGTAATTTTTAGTAATTAGTGATAATTATTTAGCCTGTTTACCTTCATATTTGTATACGTGACACATTGTGGTCGTCAAATGACAAAACATTAAGTTTTAAGCGACATGTTTTTATCAAATTATAAGGGCCCATCGCAACCCCCTAAGCATAAATACGCTATCCAAAAGCCATGCACGTAAAACGGAAGGGTGAAGGAAAAGGATATACCTTAATACCTGCGAAAACGCGTGACATGAATTTCATGGTATATCAGCAAAAGGGTAGCTTTGTAATTTTTGCACTTCGTCTATTTTTGAAATCGTGATTGCAGAATGTTTTATTTGTTTTGCAAAACAGCCCCGCGGTGTAACACACCCGTTTCATAGAATAGTTACAAGCTGCGAAACAAATGAGAGGTTGAGAATTGTATTTTAAATTTGATACACATGCGTAAGTATATTTTTGTTTGCACCATTGCTAAGCAGTTTACATATCAATTGCACACAATTGAACTTCGAAGTCAAATATGTTGATTGACTGCAATTGCATGCATGCAATATATTGTATACCTAAATATGTAAATATTTATACATGCTGTAATCGTGTTTTTACCTGTATTCTGATTTTCCTGGTCCAAATAGGCAGGGCAGCAGAAGTTCTGTAGGATATCAACGCCGTATTTGTACCATCCTATTGCTGTAAAGATATAAAAAATAGACCAGACATTATAAGCGATTTTATAGCCATATTCACGAAACCACGAAAACTGGTTTTTACCATAACACTGGTTTTGTACAGTGGGTACAAGACACACTGTAAGTAAAACTTATACAAGGTTAAGTATATCATATGCAGATTTTGATTAGTATAAACAGTTCTTACAGTATGTAAAAATGAATACTTCGAAGAATTTTTGATTTCAATGGCGATGTTTACTATTTAAAATATTTAACGTGTTAACGACACACAGACCATATTTGAATGTGATCCCACTTTACCACTACCGAGTATGTCTTGTATCCAAATGATGAATAGAGGTTGGCAGAATAAGGTCAGATTTTAATAAGGCAACATATGCAGCCATATGTATGCATTATTTCTCTAAATGAACAAAATGGATAAACTTAAGACTATGGTCAAGAATCTGAAACCGTTTATTTTTTCCATATTAACCCAAAACTAGTGAGATAAAACTTAATTCACCATTGTCACCAAAATTATAAAACATTGAATACGTACGTAATTAGGAAAAATAAGATATTCTGCCAACTTACTATTCAGAGCGAATGTTAGATTGTTCACTGTATTTATGGACTGGTGTGATCTAACGTCTCATATTGAAATTAATCCTTTTCCCGATAGAGTTCATTGCATTTTGATGTAATAAGAATATATATCCTTATTACATTGCTTTATATTTCAAATGAACAAAATAGATAAACTTAAGACTACGTACCATGGTCAAGAATCTAAAGGAGTTGATTTTCTCCATATTAAAACAAAACTAGCGACATAAAAAATAATTCATCATGTCACCAAAATCATAAAAAATGAAAATGAAAAAATAAGATTAACCCTAACCCAAATTACTATTCAGAGCTAAGGTCGGGTTTTTCAATGCATTTATGGCCTGGTGTGATCTAACGTCTCATGTTGAAATTAATCCTTTTCCCGATAGAGTTCATTGCATTTTGATGTAATAAGGATGACTGTTGTTAATATTGCAGAGCTTTTTGATTTCTCTAGGTGATGCTAAACTTGCACCAGCATAATATTTATCGTTAATGCAAATAAATGGATATATATATAATCGTATCACAATATTTTTTTCGCACTTAGACCGTGTAGATTTATCTCTATGGATGACATCCACGCGCGCATGAATTTCGTTTGGTAAAAAAAAAAAAATTAACATTCTGTTAATCGTACAAGATAAGCGAATATATATCAAACGTTGCAAAGTAGTATTGGAAAACGATACTATATAGTACTAATGTCATAGAATGCCAAAAATCAATTCAGGAGTAGAAGAAAATGTGAAGGTATGAAAATTAAGTCTATCATTATTTACCATATTCACTCTGTGTGTCATTTGCTCAACTTTTATAACCACGAAGATTCCATATTGAATGGAATTTATTTTTCGCTCGCGTTAGTTTTGGGTTTGCTAGAGAATGTCATTCATATAATCAAATCAACATGGCCTTATACGTCTATGGACCATAATAAATTAAATATAAAGTTTTTTTTTCTATTTACGGTGCCATGTGTCATCTTAGCAGCTGTCTCAGGGATGCTGACAAATAGAACTGGTGTGGCTTTGACACAATTGACACAGATCTTAAACTTGTACTATTAATTTCCTATGGTAGGTAGTTTAAGAGCTTCTTGATCTCTAGCTAGAAGGTCATTTAGTTAGAGATCAAGAAATTCAGAGGATCCTGTAACATTGTAATTTATACTCTTGATGTATTTGCCAGTGATCTTACGTTCAGTCTTCAATGAGGCAACCGGATCGCCCATCATACAATTTCAGTCTCAAAGGCGTAAAGATTTTTTGAGAAATTTATTATGGCATTTTACATTACGTCAAATTACTTTAAAAGTACCATTGGGTCTTAAAATACAATAGCTAGCATTTTTTAGTCTGCTACGATGTTATGTGATATTTAAATTTCTTTTCGCTTTCATGTGTATCCTCTTCAGATTGTCCCCTTATGGGAGACCTCTAATTCTCACAAAGCTAGTGACTTGCAAGAAATTGGATTTTTAATTATTCAGCAACATGTCACAGGGCCACAGTCATAGCCCCTCAGAAATCGATCACTTTAATAAACTGCAGCTTGAAAAAAATGGACATCTAAGCAGTTTACTTTTTGCATGGGTGTAGCCATATTATAAAACGAATATGATAAAAACTGCAATAATCAAAAAAATACTTGGACACCTTGAGAAAATGGACATCTAAGCAGTTTACTTTTTGCATGGGTGTAGCCACATTTTTAAACTAATATGATACAAACTACAGTAATTACCATGGATGGATCTTTGTTGTACTGAAAGGCACCATCTATTTTGATGTCATCTTAAGGCCACAGCAAGTAAATTTTATGGATGGCATCCTCCGCAGACTCCAAATCTTTATGCGAGCGGGCGAAAAAAAACAAGGCGGGCCGAAAAAAAAAAGGTTCCCACATTCTAAAATTTTGACTCAATTATTATTCAGTGAGAAATTGACAGATATACACAGCCAGCGTCACATATCATTGCATTAAAGTAAGAAACAAAACATTAAATCAGAGCCTTTTCTTGTCTCCTCTCTTCATAGGTATCTGCCATCCATCTTCCGGCATGGCAACAGACATCTTTGTCCATTTTCGCCATGTTGACCACTGTCAGAAGGCAACATTTTTTTCCAAAATCAGGCAAAAATTAATGCGCGCGCTGATGTCATCCATAAAAATTACTTGCTGTAGCCTTAAAAGACGGTACAAGTTGCACTCAAGTTGTACAAACAGCCACGATTCATCTCAATTGTATCGGCGTTGTCGGTTACGGTTAGTCTTCCTTTCAACAAGAGTATTATTACTAATGCGCGTAGCGGGTTAAGGATAATGGGGATTGGGTAAAGGATTAGTACGGTCTTTTTACCCATGTTAATGGGTTGTTGAAGTTTTTATGGTGAATGGAAACGGTTTTCCTCTATCGCAATCGCAAATTGTCGGTATAAATGGTAATTATTTTTGGAAATATTTAGTGATGTTTTGCCATTTGAAAATAAAGATGATCTAAATTAAAACCATCTAAGATAATTCAAACGAAATGTTAATATTTAAAGGCATCCAATGCGATTTCAGGGCAGCAAAACTGTAAATATCCTGAACATAAGGCAATCGTTGTGATATCGACGCATACTGCTTAACATTAGCACATTGGAATCAGCATTTCATACTTAGGCATTTGAAACTGCAGAAACAAGCTCTGAGATAAGCCCTTTTTTTATGGACCCTAAAAAGGGCTTGGGCCCTTCCATTAACCATGTTTTGTGAGACTATTGGTAATTTTTGTATGTAGATAATAGATTTTGTATGTAGTTTTAGTATGTAGATAAATGACTAGAATGTTGGCTTTGAAAAATTGGGTTCCCAAGCCTTAACTAAAAAAAAAATATATATTCCAACATGTTATCCGAAGACATGGTGACGGCAAAATTAATTTTTTTTTTCAACTTATATTAATGCCGCCATCAAAACAGGGGACAGGACAATACTCATTTTCACCTGAGTTAGGTGAGGAAACTCGTGTAAAGTGCCTTTCCCTAGGGCACAAGATCGGTGGCATGTCAGGACTCGAACCAGGGACCTCTTGGTTCCGAGTCGAGCACTCTGCCGCTACGCCACACGACCCCACATAAACCTTAATTTTCAACAACATCATTTTTACATTTTTGTAATACGAGAGCACTTACGTTTTCCGTTCAGCTCTTTGTTGGTGTTTGGCGGCGGAGGAAGCGGTTTGTTCTGGTTCTTGACTGGTTGGGTACAGCATGGACTGCTGATCTTAAATCTCCTCTCCAAGGCTGTCTTGTGGTGACGTAACAGGTTTAGAGGTCTCACATGGCCATCTTGAGTGCTTTCCCAGGCGTCAACTCTGCAATAGATTAATAGTGTGTTTGTTCAGTATCGCCATTGGTATGAATTTCACACCTTTCCTGGAATCCGCAGTGAATCAACAAATAATACTATTTGCACCATTGCAAACCGGGCAACTTCTTTTTTTTTTTAAATCTGTGATGGGTTCTCTAACTTTCGTTGGGTGTGGCTCTCTCCAACACGGGACCTCCATTTAACGCCCTATCCAAGGGACGTCCCTAACCTAAGCCAGGTACTTATTTTCACCTGAGTGGAGTGAGGAAAGTCTTGTTAAGTGCCTTTCCCAAGGGCACCGGTGACACCGGGCAGGATTCGAACCCGGGTCCCCTTGGGCCTGGGCCGAACACGCTACCGCTACGCCACACGACCCCACACAACTTTAAATGCACTTTTTTTCTATTTGAACAGTTGAATATACACTATACAGTGTCTGATCCTCAAGGGTGTTGTGCCAGTTTTGACCATTGCAAGTTTTTATTGTAGATAGCAATATTTGTAAATAGCCCACTCATCTTATTAAGTAAAATACCGTGTGTTTGCGGTGAATTAACTTTAAAATTTGTTGTGGAAGTCATTCAGTGTTTCCATTGAAATTTTCAACAATGTGATCTAGAATCTGTATTAATTAATAGCTTAAGTATGAGGACATTCTTAACCCAGATAACAGAGAAAATGGATGTTCTACCACTACCAAATACATCATTTCTTGAAATAATAGACAGGTTTTGGCAGAATAAGGTCACATTTGTAACAAGACAAAATGTGCAGCTCTACATGTGTCATATTTTACATAAAGGATAGAAGATCCAAAACCAGCAAAAATGATGTACCCTCACGTTTGCAACGTTTCTAGCAACTCGATGACAAAGACTGGCCCTACATAATTACCTTAACACAAACAAATTACATGATCAATCAGCAATTATAGTTTATGGAAAATCAACTTTATTTTAATTATGTTTTATGTTGAGAGTATCTTTAAGCATTCACCATTAATATTTGTAGTTGTGAAGTAAAAATATGAAGTTGCGATAATTTCATAGCAAATCAGTAAATGTCAAAATTAATAAATTAATTTAATGTACAAAATGTGGTAATTTTTTCGCAAAAATGAAGTAATGACCGTTTAACCACAAAAACTTACGTTAAAACGGGTAATTTTATTTTCATTATGTTTTATGTTGACAACATTTTGAAGCATTCCCCGTTGAGATTTATAGTTGTGAAGTAAAAATATGAAGTTGCAATAACTTTCAAGTGCAAATCAGTAAATGTCAACATTAATAAACTAACTTGATGTGCAAAATGTGGTAAATGTTTAGCAGAAAAAAGCAATGACTGTTTAACCACAGATTAGGCCACAGTATGTAAATTTTATGGATGACATGCAGACTCCGAATCTAATGCGAGCGGGCGAATAAAACAAGGTTCCTACATTTTAAAATTTTGACTCAATTATTGTACAAATGGTTTTCATTCAGTGGAAACATCATATATACACAGCCAGCATCAAATAACACTGCATCAGAGTTAGAAACAAAACATTTAATCAGAGCCTTTTCTTGTCTCCTCTCTTCATAGCTATCTGCCATCCACCTTCCGGCATGGCAACAGACATCTTTTCCCATTTTCGGCATGTTGACCACTGTCAGAAGGCAACAAAATTTCTTTTTTTTTCCAAATTTAGGTGAAAGTTAATGCACGCGTTGATGTCATCCATAAAATTTACTTGCTGTGGCCTTACGTTGAAATGGTAATTCGTAAGACAGATTGCAGGTTTTAAAGAAATCGAATTATCAGTGTCTGCGTCGACATCACATAGAAAACAGATGGAGATGCATATCGACATCATATATTTCTTGCCGTTGTTTGGATGGAAATGTATTAGAAATTCGATAGAGGGACTCCTGGATACGACTGTATCAACGCAAACTGACAGGAGCAAGTGTAAAAATAGACGTTGAGAAAAGGAAGCACTAACAAGTAATTAAGAAGTCCATTATTCAACATGCATCTTAGGTTTAGACAAATTTAGTGATACCTTTTAATGTAGCGTTGGGTGTAGGTATGTAATTATTGATATCACTTGATGAAAATACTTTATCAATGTAGTGAAAAAGTGGCCTCTCATGAAATATTTCATTTTTGTGTTCTTTCTATTATGCAACGAAAGATCTGCATTGGCAATCAATTAGTTGGGTCGTGTGACGTAGCGGTGGCGTGTTCAGCCCAGACTCAAGAGGTCGAGGGTTCGAATCCTGCACGATGCCACCGATCTTGTGCCCTAGGGAAAGGCACACGACTTTCCTCACTTCACTCAGGTGTAAATGAGTACCTAGCTTCGTTGAGGGACGTCCCTCGGATAGGACGTTAAATGGAGGTCCCTTGTTTGGGGAGAGCCACACCCCACGCGTGCACGTTAAAGAACCCACCACACTTTTTGAAAAGGGCAGGGGACCTTCCCGGTGCGAGTAGTTCAAACCGTGCAGTCTGGTCTCTGAGTTGACATATTTGAAGAAATGATACTTATTGATAGTCAACTTGTATGCCAATCCTTCAACAAATGTGGTAAATCTTCAAAAAAATGAAGAAAAAAAAAAACTAAAATAGTCGATAAGATAGTCGCCCTAGAATGCAGAAACGGTGGTGGGTGTGGGAGCTGAGCTGACTATGATAAAACAAGAACGTGCCAGCAGCTAAAACTGCAAGACTAAAAGTTAAGAATCTTGCAGACGACATACTTTACACAGGGTTTGGTCGTAACTACAACGGCTGTGTAATATGCAATAAAGGCCATAACCGAGGAAAGATATCAAAGTGACCATGCCAATAGAGTACTGCTCTGGCATTTAAAATCGAGTTGGAATGGATACAAAAGGGCGCGTTTTTTGGGGAAAGACGGTTTTTGGAAAAAGGCACGACCAGAAATCTGATATCTTACATGGATTTTTTCTTACATGAAGAAAGGTGCGTGCAAGGTGTACTACTTGTTAATAATTTGAAATGAAATTTCTTGAAGATAAACTCTTGTTTACCGCAATTATGAAATTATTCAAATACTTTGTAAGATGGTCACAATAAGTGAATCGAGAACAACAAAGAAAAGAGGTAAATGTTCTAAAAGTTTCAAAGTTTCTTTAATCGGTTGCGAAAATATGTCCAGACACTGTTTATTGTATACAACTACAATATTTTCAAGGTACAATGATAGTAAATATAGAAATTTTAACTAAAAGTGTGCAGCGCATTGGTTAATACCATTTAGCCATGGGGAACTCATAAATACTTCTATCTTTATATTTGATAAGAGACGATTTTTATGAAATATTAAGTGTGAGTTTCATGTTACTCGGAGTGTCATGCAACCATCTATTTTAATATTTCTATAGCCGGACGCACAATATGGCTGCCACATGCTTTTATTGTTTTTATTGGCGTTTGGATCTATAGTAAAGCTACTGTTAATACAGTCATTTGTCTCCCAACACAGACGGTCAATAACATATCAGCGCTAAAAGGTAACTTGGATTAAAGCCAGCGACATTCTTCAAAACATGAAAGAATTATTTTGCAAAAATTCTAAAAGGAAAAATAAATCTACAAATCAGGACTACCCTCTATAGCAAGGAACGAAATTAACTCTTTGACGTAGCCTCTAAATTCTACCCAAATTTCACACAGATGCACATGAGAAGAAAACTACTCTTCTCTTAACATCCGAAAACCTACAAATTACAGACAAAGTGGGATTCTTTGTCTTCCTCTGCCTTCAAAAAAAGAAGCCAAACCCAGTAGTTTTTACTAGTAATTTCTTAGTATTTATGAGTAGTTCTATGTTTACTAATTTTCTGTTGTTTATACGAAATGTTTCTTTTGTTCCTGCAATTAGCCCTCGGGCATGAATTTGCAATGAAACATTCATTCTAATGTCAGAACAACCGTATCCCGTGTATGTATAAAGGTTCAGCATTAGTTAACTCATTTCTAAGAGTATCGACGGTTAGTCTTAAGGTCCTAATTTGGTTTGCACTTTATACTCTATGCTATAGCCATTGCGCATCTGATGATAGCAATACGGGGACGTCGACCGAATCCACGTCGGAAATGTCTATCGCGTTTGATTCTAGTTACTGAGGAATTCAAGATGGCATTCAAATATTCAAAAATTCACAAGCGTCCAGGTGCCCTTAAATGTGTTATTTTAATTACGTAATACATCACAGTATCTGTTGATTTAATAATAGTATATATATTTGCTGGAAAAAGGTCTACCGATTCTCAGGAGCAAGGATGCTTTAAAGGCTGCAAAAAAAATCGAAAATATCGTGGAATACAAATCTGAAATAAACTTGAAAACCCTACAAATAAAAGAACCGCCTGAAATAGACTAACATTCTTATGTGCAGGTATAGTTCTCAGAAGACTTCCCTTTGTTTTGTCCAGATTAAAAGAACAACAGCAACCAAAACAACTAAAATGTTTCTTGCCATTCAGGGATGTCTTCTTACGGGAAAGCATCCTGACTTTTGTAACTAAGCTAAGAGTTGGGAAGTAGTGGGTAAAAGACTTGAGTGGATTATGCAGAACACGACTGACATTAGCAGACCAGCTCCGATTTTATGATGTCCCTTGTGCGGCATGTCTGACGCACTGCAGCGAATGGACACATCCATCATTGACATTACTGCTGCAGCAACAGCAGTTTGGCACATCGTTTAAACCAGTCGCTGCCACAAACAAAGGCTAACAAAAAAGCTAAATGTTCTAAAAAAGGGCTAAATGTTCTAAGAGTTTCAACGTTTTTAAAGGGGTTGCGAAAATATGTCCAGACACTGTTTTTTGTATAAAACTATATTTTTTAAGGATAGAATTATAGTAAATATAGCAATTTCAAGTAAAAGTGTGCAGCGCATTGGTTAATAGATACAACCATTATTGCCATTACTGCAGCAGCAGCAGCAGTTTGGCACATCATTTAACCCTAAACAGTACACCTGGGGTCCGCGCGGACCCCAGCACTATATATTCTGCAAGATCTTTTTTTGTTTCTAAAGATTTTTTTCTGAAATTTTAGGTAATTGTCACCCGCAAAGTTGTCTCTCAATACAGTGCAGAAAACTCCGTTTCTACCATTTATAAAAAAATTACATCTGATTTTCTTTTGGGGTCCGCGCGGACCCCAGCCGCATTTCCATCATAATGGATACACTGGCGTTCTTATACATTACCTTATTTCCGTTTTTATATGTTTTTATGCACTCATCGTATGTCCACCAAGTTTTCAGAGAATGGTGTAGTAATAGAATGAAATTTTAATAACTTTGGTGTAATTATGACGTCATATGACGTCAGAGATAATAATATAGTCCGCCATATTGGATTTTGACCAATAAAGTCATCAAATTAGCATATTCTATGCATATTAAATGATTTAACTTATATTTAGTTATGTAAGATGTTGTTTATGTTGGAAAAGAAGTGTAATTTGATATAAAATTCAGAAAATTTTTATATTTAAACCAAAATTACGTCTATTTTCAAAAAAACTGCCTGCTAGAAACCCGTTGCCATGGCAACACAAAAAAACATCAACTTACTAGTATTAAACTAGTATGAACTTTTTTCCAGAGACATTTTAGGAAAGGTCTCCAAATTTGATGCTTCTAGCGCAAGCCGTTTAGCCGCTATCTGAGATCAAAGTTGGGCCTAAAAAGCCCCTTCAGTCTGAAATGGGTTTAAAAATCGGGTATTTCTTCTTGTCTTCTTTTTTTCACCAAAAAAATAGAAAAAGTTCAAAATGTATGATTTTTGTATGTAATGTGGACACAGAGGTTCCCACATCAGTTTGCAAAACAATTGAGCTGGTAGCATGTTGATAATTTCTAAAAATTAGCAAAAAACTGCTCTGGGGTCCGCGCGGACCCCAGGTGTACAGATTAATCAGTCCGGGAAGGTGTACTGTTGAGGGTTAAACCAGTCGCTGCCACAAACACGAGGAGAGGCTAACAAAAATAGCAAAATGTTCTAAAAGAAAAGGGCTAAATGTTCTCTAAGAGTTTCAAAGTTTTTAAAGGGGTAGCAAAAATAAGTCCAGACACTGTTCATTGTATAAAACTACATTTTTTAAAGGTAGAATGATACTAAATATAGCAATTTTAACTAAAAGTGTAAAGCGCATTGGTTAATGGATACATTTATCATTTTGGCACATCGATTAAATAAGTCGCTGCCAAAAACACGAGAAGAGGCTTGCAGACGACTCAGCAGGTTTTGCTACAAACTGAACACTATATATCACCGCCAAAATGAGATGTAGCCAGAATAATTTTCCAGCAAAAAACATAAAAAAATCACATATGTGTATTCTCACTTTTTGCATATCTGTAATTGCCCCCCCCCCTCCCAATTTATGTGTGTTGCAATATGTGTTAATTTAAAACTTTAGACCCAACACGATAAAGATCTCCCACCCTTCCCACTCTCCCACAGTCACTCTGGTCTTCTCCAGTACACTGACCCAATGAGGCTTGTCACGTGAACTCCTTGAAGTGTGACGACACCGGGTCAAAGGTATGTAGTAGATTCTGTCGGCCCCCGTCGCGGTTGGGGGAAGGGTGATGGACTCTAAAGTAAATAGCCTTTTTAATTCCTCTCAGGTAATAATTATTTTTCTGTGTCCAATATTCTTGCAATGTTGGGTGAAACAAAAGGTCAAGATGACTCTATGTGGATGTGTCGTAACACTTCTGATCTGTGTGTTGACGTCACACTTCATGGAAGCCTCACTGGGTCAGTCTACTGCTACAAAGGAAGACCAGGTTGACTGGTTGAAAGCTCTAGGTGAGAGATTTTTATCGAATTGGATCCAAAGTTTAATTTTAACATGTAATTGTAAACACAGAGGAACTTACATGATATGTTGCAATATGTTGCGATATGTAAAAGTAAGATTATGTGGGCGAAGGAATCAAAAGAAACTTTGTCGACCTTGACCGTGAATTTAAAATGAGGATGTCATCACTGTCACCCTTTCATGGCCTTACCTGTAAAAAGAAGGATCTAGAAGCCATTTGTTTACGAGTGGACACTGTCACGGTGATGGTTTTTAACATCTCCGGCATGACAGAATGAGCTTTCTATGCCGAGTCTTCCATTTAATGGCCCATTCATAAGGGGTAGGCGTGAGTGGGAGGCCATGCCAGTAACAAATGGACAGTAATAAAAAAGAACATTTGCGCCATGATGGTGTACCTTGCAAAAGTCATATTTTCTAGTAAACATTATTCTAGGGTTACAACGAAAGGTCGACCTAAAGTCACTATCCGTGTAACACTACAAAATGATGGTGGAACAAAGTCACTTGAAGAAACGGTTGTGGAGGTAGAAAATTTACAAACTTTGAAGTATGAAAGTTTACTGCAAAGTAAGGTCTAAGGTAGGGTCTAGGGATACAATGATATGCATTTCATATGTAGTAGGTGGATAATATATTACTTGCTCAGAACTTTCTTATGTCTTTTGTCGTTTGTTGGATTCAGTTGGTGCACAAATGGCAAGGGGTAACAATAAGTAGTCAAAAGCACATACATGTCTCATTTAACCAGACTTTTTATGCGTATTGGTTGGCAACGTTGTTGCTAAAGGGCCACAACTAGTAATCTTTTTATCGATGACATAAGCGCGCATTAATTTTCGCGTGATTTTGAAAATTTTGTTGCCCTCTGACAGTGATTAACATGCCGAAAATGGGCAAACATATCTGTTTCCACGCCGAAAGGTGGATGGCAGATAATATGAAGAGAGAGTAGGCATGTCTCTGATTTATTGTTTCGTCCTTTACTTTGACGCAGTGATGCATTTTATTCCTTTTATATGTGATGTTCCCACTGCATTAAAAATAAGATGTGCAATGATTAAAAACTTTTTTTCAGTGACAAATGGATGTTGTAATAGTTGGCAGTAAAACTATCACAATATATGTATAATTCAATGTCTAAAAGGGTTGATGATGTCAAAAGTTGAGAATGTAGCAATCTTCTTTCGGCCCGCCATGTTTTGTTTTCGCACTATTGCATTAGCTTTGGAGCCTGTGTAGGATGTCTTCCATAAAATTTACTTGCTGTGGCCTTAAGTATCTTGCGTATATATGTCTTACCTTATCCATTTGGAATCTTGCAGAGAAATCTTGCACATTTCCACCCTGTGTCGACTAGACACCAATTCCTGCAGAGGAAGATATGAAAGCAATTCAAGGAAAATTTTCTATAACCCGACTAAATCACGCTTCTAGCAGCTTTTCTGCGAGTTATCTAGTGGTCCTTAAAAATCGGACGTTTAAAACCTCTATGTAATGACAATGGAGAACATCTTAAGTTTTTTTATGGATGCCTGTATGGGAACATAGACAGATTCTCATCAAACTAAGAATTGTCTGTTCCAGGAAGCCAGTAAATGCTAATTACAGGAGGCATGGTAAGATAAAAAACGTATAACTACACAGAAGCAATTGAAAATCTTAAAAAAAACTTCTTGCACAGGAAAAGGGGAAACAATTTGTTGCATCATTGTATTATGCAATACAAACAACCAAATGTCTCCAAGTATAAAAACACCGTAATCATTTCGTTGTATATTATAGGTATCTGTATGTCTGTATCTGTATTTGTATCTGTATCTGATTCAGTATAGCCGTTATAACCGCCATACGGCGTAGCACACCGAACAACTTTTGTCTTTGTAATTCATTGCTATTTTTGTGTCTTAATATGGGATACAAAATTAACGGAATCATATCAAAATGTGCTGTTTTTTGTGTATGATTGCCCTCTTTAACGTTTTCGCTTAACGTTTTCGCATGTATATTTGAATTCGTCCGGTCGTCAGCAGTCTTTATATATTATATCAAATATTACTATACATGTCAATATATGATTATATAATAAAGGACAGTGCGATTGTAAACAGGCCGGACAACATACAAAGCAGCTGTAAGTCATCAATAGTGGGAAATTATCTGCCTCCTTTGGGAATATGGGGTTTCCAATATGAGGAGCGCCGCGGCGTGGTTTTTCCTATTGGCCTCAGAAATCTAATGTTGTGTTTCTTAAAAGTTTCATCCTTAAAAAAACTTGAACCGGTAGGTTTGGATTTTTTTAAATATTTAGGCTAAATGATAAAATTGATTAACAATGCATCGGTACTGTTTCAAGAACCCATCCACCTGTTTGCTTATAATTATGAAAAATTATTATTAACCAGATTTACTGAAGAAAAATGCTTCTGAAAATACATTTAATGATGTTTAGACTAATCAAACTTTAGAGAATTGGAAATTTAGATGTCAGATGGAAAAATAGCCCTACCAGAGGTCGATCAAAATGCTAGAATCGGTCTGGAAACCGAAAACACAACATTTTGTTTATTAAGCCTTAGGCCACAGCAAGTAAATTTAATGGATGACATCCTCTGCAGATTCGAAATCTAATGCGAGTGGGCGAAAAAAACAAGGCGGGCCGAAAAAAAACAAGGTTCCTACAATTTACAATTTTGACTCAAACATTGTACAAATGATTTTGATTCAGTGGGGACATCAATTACACTCAGTCAGCATCACATATCACTGCATCAAAGAAAGACACAAAACATAAAATCAGAGCCTTTTCTTGTCTCCTCTCTTGGTATTTTATGGCAACAGACATCTTTGCCCATTTTTGGCATGCTGACCACGGTCAGAGGGCAACAAAATTTCTTTTTTTTTTCCAAAATCAGGCTAAAATTAATGTCCGTGCTGATGTCATCCATAAAAATTACTTGCTGTGGCCTTACCATGACGCAGATGTTACGGCGCCAATACGATTAACCCCTGACTTACATCAATGCCCAGAACGTCTGGCCTGGGTGCATAGTATTTACTGAAAAAGGGCAATATGATTCCTCTTACTTTTCCAGAAAAATGTGCCAACGATGGGTAAGGAAGTGATTGGTATGCGAGTAGGTAGAAGATCACACTTATATTTGGGTTAACGGAGGACGGGGACTACAAATATGATAGGCAACTCAGACATACCCGTTGTTACCAACTGCCAATTGGGATCAACGCTTCCTGAACAGTCCTGTCCTGAACCGTTGAACCATTATAAAAGTACGTATTACTCCTGGCAAACCGATTGAACACCTTTTCCGCTACCCTTAACTGTTAAATTTTAAGTGACATTGCAAAATAGCACATTTTAGTTATCGTTTCTTAAAGCGGAAACAAGCTTCATAAACATTTTTCTTTTGATGGTACTGTCCAAAAATATCTCGAACCTACGGCACAAAACAAGCAACCGCTTTCCGCCAGCGACATTGAATTTCCCTCACATATATCTTTATACTATTGAAAATAATTGATTCATCTTACTAAACTATAAAAATAAACACACACTTTTTAATATCCTGTTTTGCTGGCCTGAAATTACATTGGATTCCTTTAAACGTGCCTCGACATCCGGAAAATATAAAGCACCCATATGCCTAACACGTATAACCTCTAAGAAAATATGCGGATAGACATTTTGAATATTGACTTTCACACAAGAGTGTGGTTTTCCAAGGTCCCCTGTCATCTAGTTACTGAATAAATGGGGGAGAATGGTGTGTATTGGCTAAGCTAATTGCCACATTTAGTTCGTGGGATTATGTTATCCGTGCTGCCTGATAAAACACCTCAAGTCATTAACCATCTAATAAACGTTAAGTGCATTCGGGTTCGTTTTCTATATGGATCTCTGTTCTACCACGTACGTGGAAGAACTTACTAGATATATCTATTCAATATGTCTTAGGGGATTTTTAGTCCGGCATACAAAGTAACCGATTTATGACTAACGACGACAATATGTTGGTGAAATGCTGTTCACAGTTAATGCAAAAAATAAAACTATATTCTAATTTTTTTAATACAGTGTTTATCAAAAGTATCAAACTTCACCATATTTTACCAACACGGACTAGCTTTCATGCTAATATATTAAACAAATTATTCAAAGAAGTCACAAATATCTCTCCAAGTTTTTCACATCTCAACAATTAACAAAAGACTGTATTACTGCTAAAGTCTCCCAACCGATTTATTAATTCTTCAAAGAGTCGGACAATTCATCTCCAACTGCCTTTTGATCGAGGAGAAGTCAAACCTCCTAACAACTTGGCTAGAATAGTATAGAATAGAATAGAATAGAAATTACCATGCCTCCTATTTATGTGAATCATATCCATTCTTACCAGTATACCTACGTTATGTTAGTTTTAAATTAGATATAGTAAGTTAAATAAGCAGACCGTATAAGTAGAACTCAATGTTAGCATAATTATAGTCTTGAGTTCACCACGTTCTGTCTTCTTTGTTTTTGTCTGTTTGCAATTAGTCCTCGGGTACGAATTTGCAATAAAGAAATCAACTCAATATTTTTCTTCTTCTATATCTTAAAGCTCTGATCGTATTTACCTAGTGGTTAAAGAAGTTTCTTACCAGTTTAAGTTTTTCATAATGTAATTTACCAACTCAGATGAACTTTCATACTGATGTAAGTTTCTTACCTGTTTCTTATTGTCATGACTGATTGGGGAGATGATACCTGCTACAACAGTGAAGTTTCCTTTCTTCTGTAAGTAATCCCGGGCGGCCTCTGGAAAAAAAAAGACACAAGTTATATTAAGGATTGCAACCATTATCTCTATACAACATGGAGTTGGTTTTATCAGGAAAACAGCACATACTAACGTTTGAGTTGAACTGAGTTTTTTTAGATCCTCCTGTGGTCTACATATTACATTCATGTAAACATACATGTACATGTATTACAAGTAAAGAGGAACGTACAAAAACGCTATTAAGTTAACAGTATGTAGTAAACATAACACAATTCCTTAAATACTAAAACCACATTGCAGCCAGCTAATATAACTGATTTAATTGTGCGATCTTAGGACAGATACAAACAACATAAAAAAGAACAAACAGACACAAAGCATTATTGGCAATTGAAATAACATAATAGGTTTAACATGTGATTCATGAGTATTTAACGGATTCAATATATTCATTCACATGTAGTGTTTATTTAGAGCTACCTTGACAACTGTGGGCTTTTATATTTCAAGGATTCAATAAATAAACCAGAAAAGATATTCACTTCGATAATACAGATGTACAAACTTTACCGGTTAATTTCCACCAACTTCGAAATTTACTCTTAAAAGGGAGTCCATAGAAACTTTAAATACTTCTTCTTTGTATGGCTACTTTCCACGGATTTTTTTTTTTTTTTGATTTGCGAATCTAAACTAACACAGCATCCCCCCTTTACAAAGATGAAAAGATTATGCAATTTTAAGCTAGTTGGGCAGCTCTATTATATATCCCCCCTAATATCTTGATGTTCAAACTTTGTCAATTGTGACCGATATCTTATCCGACTTATGAAGAAGTAAAATGAATTTCCATTGTATTGGCATTATACCAGAGAACATCAAGTCGCTGTGTCATTCATTGAGTCTCTTTGACGTCACTTACAAAGTTTAAAGATGGAGTAAGATATAAAATGCTCTTGTCGGCAAAATGGAAATTGATTATCCTCTCTACCGGAGAAGAAATCACGGGACTCAGCAGGCTCCAGGAATTTAAGAGCTTTAGCGCTGTATAACGTAGGATGATGCCAGTACAATGGAAGGAATTGACACATGGGGCGCCAGTCACCGGCAATCAGACAGCGTTAATCAGATAGCATTGGGTAAACTCTCTCGATAGGGATCACCATGGACCGTAAAGGGGGTCTCTTTGTAGGTTTATTGTTACTGTAAAGATCTTGATGAGCGTCTCTTGATTAAAAGCGATGTCTAAGACAAATCGTGTCCCCGTTCTCTCATTGTTATGTTAATTTGAAATATTGGATGCGGACGGAGTGTCGTTCTCATTTTGGCCAATGATCTAAGACATATCCTTTAAAAATGCTTAGGTAAGTCACTGTGGGCTTTGGCCTGTTGCTTTGGAGAGCAATAACAAATCAGGCGTTAGCTAAAAACACAGGCCGTTGTATTTTCTGATAGGATATGCATAAGAGTTATTAACGTTATAAATGATGGGGTATTTTATATGTTATCAATGTTGCTTTATGATGAGAACAGCGTTTATCAAACACCTTAATGTTAATTTCTTCTATTTTAAGTTTAATTTAATTATGATATCTAATTGGTTATGAGGCAAAGTTAATATAAATGATCACATAAAAACGATTGATGCATCATTCGTAGTTACAGGAAAAAATCTACATTTACAACACAATATGCACTGTGGGATTAATAAGTGACTTATCACCTACATACTGATTAAAATAAATTGTTGCACAAATATACATTTTTACATTACAATTATTTTAAGTTTTACAACTGTATAATCAATTAACTTCTACAGCTCATTAAGGAAAATTTCCGTAAACAGGGTCTGCTTCCTTTTTCTCCTTTTGAAATTAACAAAGTACCTAAAACATAGCTACAAACAAACCGTCAATGTATAACTAATTCACATCGAGTATAAAATACCATTCTATACCTCTAGTTTGAAAAATCGGTTTAAGAATATGGCCTTAACCTTGACAAACTTCCAACAGCATTTACGTAAAACTGCTAACTTGATATCCTTTTAAATGTTATTTTAATATATATAACAACATGTATTATTTAAGCATAGTTATCCTTGAACATGCTGACAGAGTTAGGATAAACATTTCCATTGTGTTTTTCAAAGGATTAGTCAAAATTTGTTCTTGACTGGTCGAATGTTTTTTTTAATCTTTTTGTAGCAAGGCTACAGTTTTATCAAAATCGGACGAAAATCAACATCAATATAGCTGTATTTTAGTATCTGAACCTTGTAACGTGTCTAAAGAGTCACGTATCTTATGCTATGGCGCTGCAACATTTGCAACATATAAAGTTAGTAGATGCCATACTTTGTACCCTGTACAACCGTTGTGCAATATTAGTTATTATTATTATAAAATCATACTTGGAAATAAATCCTAAAGGAGAAAGAAGACAAAATAATGTACTAACCTAGGGCTATATTTAATAAAAGAAAGTTAATTTAATAAAAAGTAACAGCCATCAAATGAACTTTAAGACCGCGGCATGCTTCAGATTCAATATTCTCCCAAATTGGCAGAGATGTAAAATTTAGCATCCGTGACGGACAAATCAATATGTAGAGTCAGTTTTACAACTTCACCACCAGTCATCCTGGTGCCTTCAAACGGCGTGGTGGGTTTTTAATATCTGTTGCCATCATAGCTTCAAACGACAGATGGTCTACGTACAGTGTGAAGGGCTCGAAATACTGGGTGCATGCCATAAGCGAGAACATATCAACAATACATGACCATATGGTAACTCAAATACTGTTTAGAGTAGTAGTTTGTAGTGAGTAAAGTTTTGTAGTATTGTTGTATTACTGCCATACATTGTACCTTGTACGATTGTTGAGCAATAAAGTTCAAAGTTGTGTACCTTAGTGTACCCAAATTTGGAGCTGTGTACCCAATTTTCTTCTGTGAGCACACCAGTGCACCTAAATATTGTATGGGATTTCGTATGTAAAGATACATGCATAGTAATATAAAGAATATTCTAAGTGTCAGAAAAATACTAAAATCATTGCAGTAGTACTTATATTTAAAAATGAAACATATTTAGTTTTTGCTAAAATTCTACTTATTTTATTTTATATGGTGCACCCAAAAACTTTTTGCGCACCCAAATTTTTAGATTGGGTGCACCAGTGCACCTATTTCCTAAAATGAATTTCAAGCCCTGGTATGCCAATATTACACAAAGTTTGAATATGCACCTTTTATTGCACACGGTGGGGTGCTATTCTATAGTATGTTATTGACACGGTTTGTATAAACGACCTTCAACTTTTATATTGAAATTATGAATTGAATGACTGTATGGCATTTGCATACAAAATTGTCGTAATGTATGGTGATTGAGTTAAAACTTTGATGCCGTATCACCATTTAGGCATTCTGACGTTCTGGTATGTGTTTTAATGTTATTTACTACATTTCTGTTACTGACAATTAAAACATTTGTGTACATATCTCACTACATCTCACACTTAAGCTGATCTATGTAGAGCAAGAACAAAACCCTTGTAACTTACAGACAATACGTTTAATATATTAAAAACATTTAAAATATAAATTTAATTTAAAAAGTTATCAAATTGAATAATAGTTAAGATATAACTCTTAAATTTTGATTTTTTTCTTTATTTTTCTATCAATATTTTGTTAAAAACTTTGCCTGTATAGCCATATTCTTATACATCATAATTATAATAAAATTTATAATTAAAGTTAATTTATTCTGAATTATAATACACTGTAATTTATATTCTTGAGGTCTAGGCTTTATTGTATTATTAGTTGTTGGTACTAGGCATTTTGTCGGTCTTACAAGACCATTAAAGTACTTCATCTACACCATGTACTTATTCTTGGTCAACAAAGTTAAATATACCATACCATGTACCGAGGCAAAATTCACGCTAATACATTTTGTCTTAGTTGCTTTTACAGTGCCAAACTCATTACATGCAAGACGTCTCCATTGGTAGTTTCATAATTGCCGATGCCAGAGAGGAGACCACTAATTCCTTATTGATCAGTTGTGAAGATAGTCTACAATGTCAAGGTCAAAAACAGCATCTGGTCAATAGGGGAGAATAAGAACCTATGATCATAGCATAGTTCAATGAAAATGTAAACCTAACGTGGAACTTAACATGAACATTGTTTATTGTAAAAACATTATAAATTAGATAATTAAAACAATAAAATTCATTTAGATACAAGATGCATACATCTGAAATAGATTAAAAATTTATATATTTATAAAATTAAAAAGGAATACTTAAAAATAAAATAATAATAATAATAATAATAATAATAATAATAATAATAATAATAATAATAATAATAATAATAATAATAATAATAATAATAATAATAATAATAATAATAATAATAATAATAATAATAATAATAATAATAATAATAATAATAATAATAATAATAATAATAATAATAATAATAATAATAATAATAATAATAATAATAATAATAAATAATAAAATTGACAACGGAATATTAAGCTGTAGTCAAATAAATTAATCGTGTCAACTTATGCTTGGGTCATTGGGTCATTGGCTGCATTTTTTACAACCTGTGTTTCAAAGTTTTAACACATACTCGTATTCCGCTAACATGTGTAATTTGCATGACGTTTTATGTTTTGGCAGAATGTAATTTAGCGCTCTATGGACGATCTGTGCTTGACGTCGAACGTTTTATGATGTTACACCTGCCGGCTATCTTCCACCTACGTAACTATCAGTGTCTGCACATCGTAAAAACAAAAGATGAACAGGTAGATTAGCCACCTGCTTATGTGATATTACACGAATGAAGTATATAGCTAATGTAGCTAAATGTTGCATGTACATCGCTATGAGACGGACACGTATATTTGCACTGTATTGTAACTGGGTATTTTTTAACATAAGGAAGTTAATATCTTTGTAGAATAGTAGTAGTAGTAGAATGGTTTATTATTACAAGAACAAGAA